GCTTGCCAGGCAGGCGCTTTTGCCGCTGAGCTAAATCCCCAGCCCCAAAAAATAAAAATTTAAAAACCAAATATAAGTCAAAAAGCGATCCATAGAATTTTAAAGCATACTAAAACAAACATATCAATTTGTGGCAATAACTACATAAAAATAATTACTTAGGAACTTTATAAAGTATGCATTGTGTATTTTGACTGTTCATTCCTAGAAAGTATTCTAAGGACATAAAACACTAAGACATCAAGAACTGTTTGGTGGTTGGCCTTACTGTTACTAGTAGGTTTAGAATTATGTTAAAATTATTATAACTACATTGTAAGATAAAGCAAATTACAATGCACTATCTTTAGGGATCAGGATTTTCAGCGTAAAAAAAAGTTTGTAAGTACAAAAGCAAAGAAATTAAATAAAAGCCCTGTAAGCTGTCATTGGATGTGTGAACATCAGTATGAACCCATGGCTTTATTTTGTCTTTAAAAACATTTTTAAACATTTTGTTGGAAAGACTTAGGACAGTGGCAGTAGTACAGCATTTAGTATCCTAAGTGCCCCAGTTGCGGTTTCTACTATTTCCCTCTGAAAGGAGTGAGAGCTTTTTGAGAAATGCTGACCGTAGGTCTGGGTCAGGAAATAGACAAAATAAGCTGAGGATGTGGTATGCCAAAAAGGGAGGAAATTAATAAAAACTAGTGAGGTGGTGTTAGGGATTCAGGAGAGAGTTTGAAAGAGCTTTAAGAGAGAAAAGTTGGGCCATCGAAAATACTACTACAAGAGATTTAAAAATCCAAATATCTCAAAATTCATGCCTTGAAAATGGCTTTTAAAAACTACTCATCGGTCACTTGGTGGGAGCGGCCGAAGCTGGAAAGTAATTCCACGTGCAGGAGGAAGCCAGCCCGAGAGCCCGGGAGCTCCTCGCAGGCCTTTGCAGCTTGTTGCTGGGCAGAGAGGCTGAGATTAATCAACCTCTCGAGGGTGTAAAATAAACACTACTGTTCTCGGGCCGTTCCCGTTCTCCGCTCAGGAGAGAGGATCTCTGCCTGATCCCAGCTTTTTGCCTCTTGTCTATTTCTTCCTCATTCTCGCCACCGTTCCTTCATGGGGTACAACAGGAACCCAGTGGATCCTTACAGTCATTGTTTGGGGTCATTAGGGCATTAACTCAGTTCTTTGAAATCAGTGAAGGCAACAAAGTTAAGCATACAGCCCACCTTTCTTTTTCTTTTTTCTTTTTTTTTTGGTTTTTCTCTGGTACCGGGAACCAAACTCACGACCTTGTACTTGCCAGGCAGGTGCTTTGCCGCTGAGCTAAATCCCCAGCCCCGTCCCACCTTTCTTGTACAGTCTGTGTCTCCAAGAAACCAAGTGGTTAATGAGAAAGAAGACTTGTTTATAAAAGAATTCCAGTTAATACAGCAGGAATACTAGACTTAGAAAACTGATGTTTCGCCAGCCCTCAGAAGGACATGGATCTAGGCAGCAATCACTAGGTGAGAGGATGATGGGAAACACAGTGGAGACCTCAGGCTAACTCCCGTCCGAAGCCGCCAAACCGTCTCAGTATTGTAACAGTTGTGGCAGCCAGACGTGACGTGCCTCGTGGTACGTCAGAACAGGAAGTGCTCAGCTATGTTCCTGAAATATCCTTGTCCCCCAGATTGAACATGACTCCAACTTAGCCTAACGTGAATCTGTCAGCTTATGGGAAGTCAGGCACTGGAAGAACAAGTGAACGATACCTTGAGGAGACCATCAGATCCAAAATGTGGGACATTTTATAGGTTAAAGGACTTGTTCTCTCTAATACTGACACAAAAGAGAAAAAGATCCGGGAGGGGAGTTGTGTGAAAAAGGAGAGATTTAAGTAACATGAAGACCAAAGCAAATAAAAGGCCCACACTTAAAAAAAAAAGGAGCACACTGGCTGTGGTGTTAGGAGTAGAGCAGAGAAGATCTGGGTAAGAAAGAGGGAAAAGACGGGCTGTGTGTGGCTCAGAGGTGGGGTGCTTGCCGAGCACGTGGGGGGCCTGGGTTCCATCACCACCGCTGAAAAACAAAAACAACAAAAGAACTGTTAGAAAATTCCAAGTAAGATTGTAGACAGGATGATACAGGACGGTATGTGGCTGGATCCTGGATGTATTTGGAAGGAGCAGCCAACAGGATTTGCTAACGGGCAGATAACGTGAGAAGTTTTGGAGTCCATGACTCCAAGGTTGGGCTAAAGCGCTAGAACAGTGGAGGTGCCTTTACTGAAATGCGGGTGACCGAGGGAGCAGCCGCTAGCTGGGGAAGTGTTGGGAGTAACTTTCCTCAGAACTCTGCGTCCTCAGCCCGAGGGGCCTTTTGAGTATCCATCTGTGTGTGAGGCGAAGAGGCCCAGGGTGTATGTGTAGAGTATTGAAGAGGCCCCAGGCAGGAGACCTGCACCTGGGAGTCCTCAGCAGGCAGATGGTATTCAAAGCCGTGAAATTAGGATGGAAGAACAAAGGGAGAGAATGAAGCTGGAAGACAAGTTCCAGGACACCTGTGAAGTCAGCAGCAGGAACAAGAAGGCACCCTACGGGTATACAAAGGAGGCAAAGAAGGAAGGGGTGATCTGTCGTGTCAGACACTCCTGGCAGATCGGGAAAGGTAAGGGCAAATTTCACCTTCATACTGAGCAACCAGGGATCATCAATAAAATTGCTAAGTGAAGTCTCAGCTGACAGTAGTGGGCTCGGGAAAACCTGGTGTGGGAGAAGGTAAGAGGATAGCTCTTTTGAGGAGCTTGGAGAAGAGAAAGCTAGTGTATTGGCTGGATGGCAAAGTGCACTCTGTTGGAGGGTTGCCTTTGTTGAGAATCACTTCTGCCTTTCAGGAGGTATTTTTGTGACAGTATCTTTTCCTCCAACTTCTTTTTTTTTTTTCCCCCCCTGGTACCAGGAATCGAACTCAGGACCTTGCGCTTGCCAGGCAGGCGCTGTGCTCCTGAGCTAAATCCCCAGCCCCCAACTTTTTATTTTTGACAAGTATCAAATCACTGAAAAGTGAATACTGTGTATACTTCATCTACTTTAACCCACTGTTTAACCATTTTCTTCTTAGGTCTATAAGTGTATAAGAAATTATCTCGCTTGTCCAGACCAAAATAAGAAGTTGGAATCCAGAGGCAGCAAAAGTGGGGCTTTTAATCCAAAGTCTTGCAAGAGTGGCGCCTGTGCAGAGGCGGGCACATGCCTGTGGTGACGCTGTGTGTTTTCCCTCCTAACTCACAGGAGTCCCTCCCCATCCCTGGGACCCGGGGTTCACAGTCTGTCCCTCTCAATCCATTTCATCCCACACCTGTTGTCCACCCCGTCTTCTTGTCCCCTCCTCCCTCTGTAGTTCTCTCCGTAGTTATTTTTAGCCTCTTGGTTTCCAGGATTCAAGAAAATCTGTCTCTGGAGTCTTTTAACAGCCTGCACGTCCTTGTCTGCTAGTTGACCAAGCTACGGCTAAGAATAAGGGCTTGCTAAGCAGTTAATAAAGTATGGACCAATTAAAAATATTTTTACCCCTTACAGTAGATTTTTTCTGAACCACTTGAAATTGTAGACTAAAGTTTATGTTAAATACCTCATTGGTATCTTCTAAAACCAAGGACATTCTATCATTAGATCTAAGACATTTAATATTGATACAATAATATGTGAAATACAGTTCATATTAGAACTATGTATTATTTTTGCATCTAGTACAGAGTCCAGTCAAAGGTCACCCACGGCTTGTGAGCATCATCACATCCTGAGGGACTTTTTTTTTAGGATTGGAGAAATAATAGTACATGTACTTGCTGACTTAAAATCTAGTAAAAAATGAAAACTGAGGGTGCAGTGCAGTAAAGGAGTAGCTGCCATGTCATAAACCTGAGAAGGTGCGGGAAGACGGGATGTAGCTGTAACGGAGGGGGTCTTCAATGGGAGTGGGATGGTACAACTGCAGTGGGAGAAGAGGCAGAAGGGGTGGCGGGGAATGAACACCTTGTAGCGGCTGGAGGAAATTCTCTTTTGATGGCTTTTACTTCCTTGGTGAAATAAGAGTGGTATTCATCTGAGAGGAAGGGAAGGAAAATAGGTATTCCGTGTTCTCTCCTGCACAGTGGCCCGCCCTCATGTTGTTGGGTGTACTTGTTTTCCTACTTTTACTTGGCCCAAACTTGCTCTGCAGAGCCTGTTTCTTTCCCTGCCTTTAATAAAACTTTACTGCCATTTAAAAAAAGGAGATGAAGTCTGAGTCATCTTTAATCTAGGGCATGTATTATTACTGAACATACATGAAGGAAGGCTTTCCTATGGGTGCATTTTTTTGTGTGTGTGTGTGGTACTGGGACTAGGGGTGCATTTTTATGGATGGTCTTTATTTTTATTTTTGAGGGTCTCACTATATACTTCAGTTCAGGTTGGCCTTGAACGAATTAATTATGTAGCCCAGGCTTGCCTCAAACTTGCGGTGATACTCCTGCCTCAGCCTCCCAGGATAGTATTACAGGTGTGTACCACCATGCCCGGCTGTTTGTGGATACCCTTAAGAAATTCTCTTACAGACCTTCAATTTGTGTAGGTACACTTCCCTAAGAAAAATCCACCTGAGAAAGAGCCTCTTCATAGGATCCCTCCCACTTTACAAGAATAGGCAGCCCCTCACCTGTCCCAAATCTGAAGTCATTCTGTCCCCTTCACCTTGTCCCTGCTTCTTGTCTGCAGGTTGACTTTTGTTGTGTGTGCCCTGCTAAGCTACACCCCAAGCCTCTTTTTGCCCCCCTAGTTCATAAAAATACTACTTTCTGGAAGCCGAATGTGCTTCTTAATGACCTTTTCTCCCAAGATTCCCGAAGCGTCTGATCCTGGTAGGGAGGTAGCACTCACTGCCCGTTTCTTTTGTGTCTCACCTCAGCCTTCCCAGCGTGCATCTTTCTGTTTCTTCCCCCCCTCACTTTGCTGCCCCATTTTCTGTGACCGTTGTCTTTATTCTGGTTTCAGGCGTGGTCTCGGTGGAAGGAGCAGCTCCTGCTGAGCCAGAGGGGGAGGTGGAAGCTGGTCTCCGCAGTACAGCATCATCGGTGGTGGCAAAAGAGGAAGTTCCTGAGGGCCTGGCTTGAATACCTGAACATGTGCAGAGTAAAGAGACAGCGGGATGGTGGGTTGGAAGCCCTCGCTGCCCCAGACAGAGAAGTTAGGCACAAGATCCACTCATTTCCCTGTTGCCAGTAGTACTTTATGAAGAAATATAGCCACAAATTTTTGTGAAAGGAAATTGAGGAGAAAATTACATCGTTCTGTTTCCATTCTTTTTATGTAGTTTTGCTGGCCTCAAACTCTCAGAGATCCACCTGCCTCAGCCTCCTAAGTGCTAGGATTACAGGCATGCACCACTACACCTGGTGAAAATGATATCATTCTCAATTTACATGTATTTCCTCATAGTGTTTAGTTCTATACATCTGTTTTATGCAAATAGGATTCTAACTGTGATTGAAACATATTTTTTTTTTTTTTTGGTACCAGGAATCAAACTCAGGACCTTGCACTTGCCAGGCAGGCACTTGTGCCACTGAGCTACATCCCTGGCCCCTGAAGCATATATTTTATGTCACACAAGGCTGTTGATATTGTGATTAATTTGTTACCTACAATTTTGTATTATACTTTTTTACACTGTCCTATGCCTATTCATCATAAATGTTACCTTTTTCATAAATATTATTTGTAAATGAGTATTCATATTTTTTAAGATGGTTTACCTTAATTTACTTAATCTTTTCCTATTATAGATACTCAGATTCTATTTGTCCTCGGTTATATAAATGCATGTGATTTATGATTTTTTTGGGGGGGTACTGTTCCTATGGTTTAGTTTCCCTCTAGAAGTAATGAAGTATAGGAACATGATCTTTGGTACACACTTTTTACTTAAATTTATTTATTTACTTAGGTTTTTTGAGACAGAGTTTTGCTCTGTAGTTCAGGCAGGCCTGAACTCACTGCATAGCCCAGGCTGGCCTCAAACCTGCCGCAATCATCCTGCCTCAGCAGGAGGCAAATGCTGGCATTACAGGGTGCGCCACCATGCCCAGCTGTACTTAAATTTATTGAGTTTACACAAAAATGAGTCAAGCGCCATGATATGCTTCCCAGCTTTTGCCCATACCCCCACAGAAGTGTCCTAGACTGCCAGCACTGTCACTGGAGAAGTTTCGCAGTATCTGAAGACAGTGACAGCAACCCAGACACGCAGTTGCTCAAAGCTGAAAGATGAAGGCTTGAGGCTGTTGAGCGTGGTGAACTACAGACTAATGCGTGCTGCACCTACAGCGTTGCAGTTCAGAATGCACTCCTCCTGCTTGCTGGGTTTCCACTCATCAACCCACTGGCAGACCCAAAAGTGATGCACCTGGCAGCCAGGGTCAGCCTGGCTGAAAGCTCAGGGAGGCCTTTGCCACACTGCAGCGAGGGCTGTGTGTTATCAGCCCCGTTCCTGAGTCCCCCGGGGGTCATTCACGTAGAGGCAGAAGTAAAACAGCCTTCTTTGAAAGATCAGTTGCCTTTCTTACTCACCGGTAGTTAACGATAAGTGTCAGCCTTTGGATAGAACTGATTTTATTTTATTCTCCTTAAATCACCAACCTTTCTCTTTCCTTGGAGAGAGGAGAGGTAACTCAGGGATTCTTAATAACCTGTCTTCTTGAACTTTGAGGTGAAGGGTACTGGGGTCAGACTCAGGGCCTTAAATGTACTAAGTGTAAAAAAAAAAATGTGCTAAGTGTGTGCTCAACCACTGAGCCACATCCCCAGCCTAAAAACCTTAAGGATCCTTTGGGGGAGGAGCCTTGAATCTCTGCTCTTTGCCAGTAGCTTTACTTCATCTCACAGATCCTTCTAGCTCATCTCCTGAACAGCTCCTAAGTCATATTTCTTTGTTTCAGAGATGGCTGCGCAATTGCACCGTGTCACCGTGCTCCAGGTACACTTCTGTGACTGGCGCTGGGCCTGGGAGCAGAGGCAGAGCTTGCATGCCCACCAGGCCCTAGTGAAAGAGCTGGCCAGGAAGATGGCACTGCGGAGGGTCTTCTCGCACTGGAGACACTGTATCCTTCCAGCCACGCAGGCCCGTCAGCCACCTCGGGCAGTATAGTCTGGACCCAACAGTATGTAAACAAGTATCAAGAGGAAGCAATGACCAAACAGTTTAAGGCAGCTGTATCTCTGTTGATTTCTTTAAAAAGTAGTTTAATGAGGGCCATGCAAACAAAGAGTACTTTCCACATATATTTACAGTTTAATTAATAATAATTAAATGAACCTCTGACCAATTTAAAAAGTAGAAAGTTCGCAAGCCCTTTCTTGACACCCCCTCACCGGACCCCAGATAGTTTTATCCTTTATTTTTTCTGTTACCGTTGGTTTTCTCTATCCACTAGGTGGTGGAAGTAGCCACACCAGTTGGTTTCTTTTTTGTTGTTGTTGTTATTTTGAGACAGGGTCTTGCTGTGTACTTCAGGCTGCCTTGAACTCACCATGTGGCCCAGGCTGGCCTTGAACTTGTGGCGATCCTCCTGTCTCAGCCTCCTGGGTGCTGGAATTACAGCTGTGTGCTGCCACATCCAGTGTCAAGTCTGTTTCTTAGTGACACCATCACATGATCATAACTTCCGTTTAGGGCTGGGGATATAGCTCAGTGGCATACCTGCCTGCCAAGCACAAGGTCCTGAGTTTGATTCTTGGTACCAAAAGGAAAAATCCATTTATTTGAGCTTTCCATATTTGCAGCCATTCTGCATCATTCTCAGTCCTTGCAGCAGTCCTATGCAGTTGTTGTCACTGTCTCCATTTATAGATGGGAAGCAGATTCAAGGGGCTAAGTGACTTTCTAAGTCACAGTAATCATTGGCAGAATATAGACCTTTGGTCCTGTACATATGTTCTTGATCACTGTCCCTACCACATTGTGTTCAAGTGTGAGAATTTGGACTGCCTCAGATGTTTATCCACACATTCATTTGTTCATTAAAGAAAGTCCTTTTTTATGTTAAAGTCCTGCTTAAGTTCTGCTTTACAGGGAAACTCAAAAACTGTAACAGTGTTCATTGTCTCTTGGGGAAAATAGACATAATCAAGGATTTTAAAACATGGTGTGAAAAGTACTGTCGTAAAGCTTTGGGTCAAGTCCTATGAGGGCGGCTATGGCGATTCAGGCAAGGTAAGGTTATAACCCTTAGAGATGACACGTTCCCTCAGCAGAGAAGGTGAGAAGGGGCTTTCAGTTGGAAGGGACAGTTGTGCCGGTCTCGGGGGAATTGTGGGGGTGGACCCCTGTGGAGACTGGAGGCCTTGACTTCCCGGCAGATGTGTTACTGTGTAGAGAAGAAACTGCTCGGCGTGAGGTGGCAGAACGGCACCACCAGCGCAGCCTGCTGGTAAGAGCGTGCTGCCTGGTGCAGTTTTGTTCCTCGGCCTTGGTGACATCCATAGTTGGGGGTCCCTGACCTACCCTGGCTTGCACACAGTGCAGCCAGTTCTGGGCTGTGTTCAGGCACAAAACCCTGTTTCGTTGTGAATGTCCCTGTTTGTACTTTGGGTCCCAGAAATTAATGATGTGGGGTCAGAGCTTAGAGATGATCTAGTCGTGAGGGCTTTTACATAGTGGGACCCCTTTTTAATGGCAGAGCCTAATATAAAACAGAGCTCAAAGTCATGATGCAGAGCTTGAATCACGACCTTGGGAGCAAGGTCTGGTTCTGCTAGCTCCTCTTCCCCACCCCTACCACATATCTTTCAAGTCTGTGTAAGGCCTCTTGCATTCCACAGAACACTATATGAAATCCTGTAACTCTCTAACCTCAGGGAACTGCAGCCCAGGTGCAGGGCAGTGGGAGCAAATGAGCTTTGCTTAGGTCACGTGTGAAGCATTATTGATGGAGCTGGAGGCGGGCTTCCACCCCAAGCCCCTTGTCCCTGAGGACTCCTATTCCACTGTAGCAGAACTGCATTTATAATTATAGGAATGTGTGCAGTTACCCTTACATTGTAAAAAACAAAAGCAGAAAACCAAAATGCGCCATAGGCAAGATGCCTGCTTTTGTTCTTTTGGAGAGGCAAAAATTGATGTTTGGCCCCTGCTGTAGAGTTCTCATCCAGGTCATGGGATCCTCTGGGCCAAAGGTGAGGCTGTGTTTGTTCCTGTGCAGTACTGTGGACCGTAGGGATTGGTTCAGCCAATATTAATGAGTACCTGGTCGTGTTATGCTCCCCATTAAATCTCAGAGCAAAGAAACTGAGGGAGATGAGCGGCCTTGAGCTTTTCACCTGGTTTAGGGCAGTGCTCTCCTTTGCCTGTCCTTGTTTCTGTAAGCACTACTGATTCTTGATAATCACTTGTGTTCTTTACACAGAATTTTTGCTTCAGAGCCCTGAAAGACAACATGACCCAAGTTCATCTCCAGCAAATAAGAAAGAATCTCGCGCACCGGCAGCATGACATGATGGTGAGGGTTATCGTCTTGTTTCAAGGGACCCCTTCCAATGGTCATTCTGTTTTTGTAACCTTTGTGCCCAGAGATTTGTCCAGATTTTAGACTACAAAATTTTAACACTTGGCTAGGGATATAGCTCAGTGGTAGAGTGCCTGCCTAGCAAACACAGGCCCTGGGTTCAATCCCTAGTACTAAGAAAAACAAACAAAATTTTAATGCTTATTTTCTGTGATAATCCCTAGCTGCTAAGAGAGCAACTTGTTTTTGCCTCGTTTAACCCCATCTTTAATCTGTTTGCTAAGAAAATTAATAGTTGACGCAGAGATCAGGGACCATGGATTTTAACTGTCAGTAAAGGATTTGGTAATATAAATACATTCAGTTCTGCATTATAGGAGGCAGTGTTTGTGTTTCCATTGCAGCTGTTTGCTTCAGTAGTTGGTTTACCTGAAGTCAAAAAGCTGCTATCTTGGAAAGTTTTGTTTCTGAGCATAGGAGGATAGAACTTGTCATTGTTTTATGAAAATGTTCACACGTACAGAAACACAGAATAGTATAAAAAGATCTATATACTCATGACCTAGATTCAGCATTTATTAATATTTACTAGATCTGTTTTAGTTTTGCCCATGAATGATTTCCAAATGAATTACAGACATCCTGATGCTTTACACCTAAACATTTCAGCAAGCATCATTCCCAGAATGAGGCTAGTTTCTTACATAACCACTATATCATTACTATCCAATATCCAGTCCATATTCAAATTCCTACAGTTGTCCCCAAAATGGATTTAATTAAGGACCATTCATTATATTTGATAATTATGTCTCTGTTTTTTGGTTTTTTTTTTTTTTGTCTTTTTTGAGACAGGGTCTCGCTATGCAGTTCAGGCTGGCCTGAGCTCACTTTGTAGCCCAGGCTGTTCCCGAACTCACAGGTCCTCCTGCCTCAGCCTCCCCAGTGCTGGGATTGCAGGCGTGCACCACCACGCCTGGCTATTATGTCTTTTAAAACTTTTAAGCTAGAACAGTTCATCCCCACCCCCACTACACTGCTTTTTTTATACATTTACTTATTTTTTACATTTTTTAATTATAGTAAGATACACATTCCACAAAATTTATCACCTTAGCCATTGTGAAATACACAGTTCAGTGGTATTAAGTGCATGTGCAACCGTAACCATTATCCATCTCTGGAACTCTTTTCATCTTGCAAAACTGCCGCACTATCACCCATTAAACCCTAACTCCCCATTGTCTTTCCCCCAGCCCCTGGCTACCAGTATTCTTTCTCTCTCTGTGAAGTTCACCACTCTAGAGGCCTCATAAGTGGAGCTGTTTGCCCTTTTGTGACTGGTTCATTTTAGTTAGCATAATGTACACTTTTTCTTAAAAATGACACTGGCTTTTTTAAAAGGATGTACCCATTATTTTGTATAATGTTCCCTTTTAAATTAGTCTGTTTGTTTTGTATGTCACTTAATTGTCTTTATTCCATGGAGCAGTTCATGTAAGGTAGAAGTTAGATCTAAGGACTTGATTAATTGAAAATAAACATTTTTGGCAAGGCTACTTCATAGAGTGGCCACAGTGGTAAGATTAGTTTCAATTTCTAAAACGACTTTTGAAAATTTTTTTTTTTTTCTTTTTTCCTGTGGCACCAGGAATTGAACTCAGGACCTTGCGCTTGCCAGGCAGGCGCTTCTACCACTCAGCTATATCCCTGGCACTCTAAAGTAATTTTTGAAAGTGACATTTTCGGGGCTGGGGATTTAGCTCAGCGGCAAAAGCGCCTGCCTGGCAAGCGCAAGGTCGTGAGTTCGGTTCCCGGTACCGGAGAAAAAAAAAAAAAAAAAAAAGAAAGTGACATTTTCTCAGTGAGACTCAGATTAGGAAGTTTATTCATCCAGTATCCATAGACTGGAAGAGCCGTCTCTTCGCCTGTTGTGTTAGTCCAAATAGGTGCAGAACGCAGTCATAAATACTTTGCAAGCCCAAGTGTGTTGGTTGTTCCAGACAGTGGCTGCTTTGGGGGAGTTCGCAGTCTGTTGGAGTAAGGGCTCGCTACTAGGTTAAGAGCAGTCGTTCTGTTTCACCTGAGTACATTTCCATTTTACTTCTGTTTTGTTTCAGCTGCTGCGCAGGTTCTGGAATCTCTGGCAGTCTCGGATTGAGCAGAGGGAAGAAAAAGAGCAGCTCCCCTTACTGCGGATAGCCTGGGGCCACTACAGGTAGGACTCTGGCCTTAGCCTCAGCATCTCCCAGGATACTTTGTTATTCCAACTTGCATTTTGCCAGGCCTAAGTTAGTGGCAGAACTTTGTGCCACAAGTTAGTGCCATAGATTCAGAAAGGTCTTTTAGTGGGGAGACCTTACTGTAAACCACTGGTTCCTAGATTACATTTTGGCTTTGGCTGGTCAGATGGGGATAGAATGAGGATATTTGTACTGAGTTTTGCCGTTGTTCTTTAGGTGTTATGATGTTCACATCTTAGGATTTATGCTTTACTACTGTCAAAGGGTCAGACCAGGTGGGTATTTATGCCTCAGTCTTGAAGGGTAGAGGGAATGTTCTCAGGTTTGTTTGTTTTTGAGACAGGGTCTCTCTATGCAGTTCAGGCTGGCATTGAGCTCACTTTGTAGCCCTGGCTGTTCTCAAACTCGCAAGGATCCTCCTGCCTCAGCCTCCCAAGTGCTGGGATTGCAGGCATGCACCACCATGCCCGGCATGTGTTCTCAGTTTTTTAAAGCTCAACATTTGGTTAAATAAAAGCAGTACATGTCTTTGGAGAAAATTCAGAATGTATAGAAGGAAGGATAAAATGAAAATAAAAGTTGCCTGCTCCCTTCTCTACAATTCCTTAGTCTAACTTTTAAAATATAATCATTACTAATTTTCTTGCTGCTAAAAATATTCAATGTGTTTGTTTGTTTGTTTATTTATTTTTGGTTTTTTGTTTTTTTCCGGTACTGGGAATCAAACTCACGACCTCGTGCTTGCCAGGCAGACACTGTGCCGCTGAGCTAAATCCCCAGCCCCTCGATGTGTTTAATATACTTCTCTCTCCCTTTTCTTTCCCTTCTAATTTGCGTAGTTACAAGTCTAATTTTGGAGCATTTCAAAAAAAATTTTAATTAATTATTTTTGGTGCAGAAGATCAAACCCAGGACCGCCACGTACTAAACAGGTGCTCAGCCTTTGAGCTACACACCGAGTCTTAGAGCATAAAAAAGCCCCATCCCTTAGAGCATTAAAGAAATGAGTCAGTGAGAACCCTAATATTTAATTAACTCAAATCAGAGCTTGTCAAAGTATAGCATTATTCTAAATCTTGGTTCGTAAAATTGAGTGTGGCTCTTATTCTCGGTGTCACTACATTAAAGGCAGCGTGTCACAGGCCCAGAGAGTCCCAAGTAAGCCCCAGAGTTTGGCCCTAAAACAAGCAAGTTTGGGATCTCTGGGACATTTCATACATATTCTAAAAATACTGCACCTAGCAGTCTAATTAGATTTATAAGAAAGTTATCAAGGCCTGGAAGTGTGGCTTAGCGGTAGAGCATTTGTTTATCATGTGCAAGGCCGTGGGTGCGGTCCCTAGCGTTGCAAAAAGAGAACAAGAAGAAAGTTGTCAAAATGTTTAAGCAAGCCAGAGTCCAAAAACCAGGAGCTGACAGGTTTCATGTTAGGTATCAGGTTCTTATTTTCCTGTCTCCTAGAATGAAACTAGTAAGCCCATGGGTGACTTTAAGTCAGAAGAAGTAACTGTACCCAGATTTACCTGCCTTAAAAATAAAACAGGAATTTAAAAATCTGAAACTTGAAGGTGTAGTAGTAGTACGGTAGTAGTACCTTGATGTTCTGTGTTTTATTTCAGGGTAACATTGCTGCACAAGTGTATCAAATTGTGGTTACGTTATACTCAGAAGAGAAGATACAAGCAGGTATGGGATCCTTTAAAGCAGGTAGCTGTACTGCCTTACCTTCTTGAGCTGGCTTTGGAAAGACTCTTGGGAAAGGCCTATGCCAAGAGATCCTGCTCTTCTGTTTGCAGGGAGGAAAGAAATACAAATGTATCTCTTTTAGTCCCTGTTTATGTTGTCACAAACTGCGTGATTCCCATTCCTTCATCTGCTGGAAAAATGGAGGAAAGCAATGAATTCTTACGAGCCATTCATATGTATGTGTGTATGTATGAAATACATAACCAGCCCCCCCGCCCGTGCTGGAATAAAATCCAGTGGCATTCTACCACTGAGCTACATGCTTAGCCTGCCCATCTATCCATCCATCCATCCATCCATTCATTCATTCATTTTGAGGCAGGATCTCAGTATTGTAGTTCAGGCTGCCCTCAAACTTGCAGTCCTCCCTAGTGCTGATGCTATAGGTATGCGCCGCCAATCTGGACAGCCACTTACATCTGGAGTTGCATTAATTTATTGTACGAGTTAGCAAGCCTGTCGCCTAGTGGGACCTTCTGGAGATAGGAGGACATACACAGAGCATAAATGCTGTATCCTAGTGCTAAACAGGGTCACACACTCATGCACCAGTGGGTAGAGGACGTGCGGGTCAGATTGACTAATTAGTAAAAGCAGATTGAGAAAGCTAAATTGAGTTCTTTTGAAGAAGTACTGTACTTTTTGCACAACGGCTAGCCTTCAGGCTGCTCAGCACGGAGGACACAAGGATGATGCAAGGTAGCACAATTCCTGCTCTCACAGCCTAAGGATGACAGGTGCGTGTGATCGTACAGGCTGGGTGTGATGACTGGGAGCGGCTGTTCAGAATGCTGAACCGAGAAGGATTTTGAGGCCACATTCAGACCTGGGGAGGTGTGTGTTCCATTGATGAGGTCTGCGTGAAAAGTGCCCCTCTTCAGCAACCCATGGCCGCGAGTCAGCGGGAAACACAAACCAAACTCCTCCTCGTTGTTTTTGTGCTGCCCTCCCCCATCTCATCCCCATCTCTGCTAGAATCTAACGCCTGAATCTAAAAAGCTGGGCTGGTTCCCTACAGCTTGGGGACAGAATGCAAGTTTTTAGCAAGGCCCATGAGCTTGTCTAGGATCTGGTCACTGTTTCTCTACCCTTTCTCCCTGTTAGTACTCCTCCTCCATCACTGCACCGGCAGTTGCGCTGCCTGCTGTTCCTGAACGTCCTGCTCACACTCTGCACCTCACTGCGCCTGCAGTTCTCTGTGCTTCGCTGCCTGTGAAACTCAGGTGCTCCCTCGGCCCCCACCTACCTCTACCTGTGTAGTTCAGAGCATTCATCACACAGTTGTCAGCTGGCCTCTTTCTTCTCCCGGCCGGGAACTCCTTGTGAGTACAGCCTGTCTCTCTTCTCCTTAGCCCAGCACAGTACTTGGCAAAGAACTTGTGCTGACTAATATATGGATGAATGAACAAATTCACTGCCATTGATCATGGCAGAGCTTTTCTGAGGGATCACCTTGGTCGTGGAGGTTTGGATGGCTTGGCATTGGCTTGTTTTGTGTCACTTTGGCCTTCCACACTTAGAAAATGCTTAGAGTCACTGCATTCTTTGACATCCCTTTTGACTATGTGGCTGGGATATTATTATTATTTTAAAGAGTAAAAGAAGGATAACATAATAATAGGGGGGCTTACTGAATTACAGACAATGTGGTAGGAAATTATCAATGGTTGTTGTTTTACATATTGTTATCTACAAGATAGTTTCGCAGGAAAATAAATAGACAAATAATAGTGAGTTACATGAGAATAGTTAATGATTTTTCAATAGGTCACTCATTTATAGCTCTATTTATTTTCTTTAGAAGCCACTTTGAAGATTCCAAAGTATAGCACAACAGCTCTTGATAATCTCCTACCTCTTTTGTCTCTAACTCACTATTATTTGTCTATTTGTTTTCCTGAGAAACTATTTTGTAGATAATAATATGTAAAACGATAACCATTGATAATTTCCTACCATTTTGTCTGTAATTTACTAAGTCCCCCCTATTATTATGTTATCCTTCTTTTACTCTTTAAAAAAAAAAAAAAGTGAGTTACAGACAAAAGAAGTAGGAGATTATCAGTAGTTGTTGTACTATACTTTGGTATCTTCAAAGTGGCTTCTAAAGAAAATAAACAGAGCTATACAAGAGTGACCTATTAAATAATCATTAACTATTCTCAATGGTTGTTGTAGGAAACACATAATAAACTACATCCATTTACGAAATAGCATAGGAACAATACAAACATTACAGAGTTATGGACAGATTAATAGAAAAATGTCAATGGCTGCTGTAATACATGGTGGTATTTTCAAAGTGGTTTCTCAGGAAGACAGAGATACGCAAAAAAGATCTAACATGTAGTTACAGCCTAAGGGTTGTGAAAAATAGCGTATGACCTCCTCACCAGTGACTCCTGTCACTGAGGTGTGCCAGCCAGAAGGAAGGCCAGGACTGAATATGTGGCTGTTTTTGAAAGGACATTGCCAGTTGTTCTGTTGAATTAATTTAATGCTAGTTCAGTAGAATGTTAGGAGGCTCTTTAGCAAAAGACTTGAGTGCCAGGGTGGAAAATTTGTGTTTATTCCAGGTGGAAAGAAGAAGACCATTTTATTTCTTGGAGAAAGAGAGCTCTCCTTGGCCCAGGGACTAAGCATATTTGAAAAGTCAGTGGTCAAGGTTCTCCCACATACTGCTCCAGCTTAGTCTGCTTTTGAAGGCCAAATAAGCTTAAAGAATAGCAGAACACTATTCAGCCACTGCTTTTGAAAAAGCTTTAGCTAACAGTGTGAATGTCACCTCTTGGTGTAAATATCCCAGGAGCACATCAGTTCTTCTATTTTAGGAAAAGATAGGGCCAGGGATGTAGCTCAGTGGCATAAGCGCTTGCCTGGCAAGCCTGAAGTCATGAGTTTGATACCCGGTACCAGAAAAAGAAAACAGAAAAGAGGAAAAGATAAAACATTATTTATTGTGGGTTTTTTCCTTATTAAGAAGTAATGGGTACATGTACTAATTTCCCACAAGGAATGTAAATATTATGTAATATACACATGTACTAATAAACTTAAAAAAAAAATAATACAGAATGGCAAAATGTTTGCCAGTTTTTAAAGTTGGAGAATAGGTTTATAGACTTTGATTAGACTGTTGCTTCTAGTTTCATTTATGAATCAACAGTGCCCATAATGAAAAGTTCAAAGAAAAACAGGATACAGACAGAAAATTTTGGAAGTGTAGAAAGACATAAAAAGAAGGGGGGAAAAAGATAGTTAAAAGCTTGCCTTTTTAAGAAGGCATTTGGTAGTTAAACCTGCATCTTTCTCTGTGTGGGTTGAAGTACTTGTACTCATATATTCATGCACATATGTGCATGTACACACTATTCCAGTGATCTGTTGCTTTGTTAAAAATCATCCCAAACTCCGTGGCATCAAACACCAACCACGATACTGTGTTTAAGGATTCTCTTGCTCAAAAATTAAGATAAGACAATCACTTCTTGGCCTTTTGGCTAAGATAAGTGAAATTAAGATAAAACATAGTGGGTAGCTGGACATGGTAACACATACCTGTAATCCCAGCTACTTGGGAGGCTGAGGCAGGAGGATTGCAAGTTTGAAGCCAGCCTGGAGAAATTAGCAAGACCCTGTCTCAGCGTGAAATGAAAAGGGCTACAGCAGTAAAGTGGTAGAGCACTTGCCTAGCATGTTTGAGGATTTAATTCCTAGTACTGGGGTGCAAGGAAAGCTAGGTGTGGCAATACGCACCTGTAACCCTAGCTACTCAAGAGGCTGAGTTAGGAAGAGGTTTGCCTGGACTGCATAGTGAGAACTAGTGTCAAATATAAAGACAGCTGTGGATGCAGCTTATGGCTTCTGCTGCAGTCTTCTGTACTGAGAAAACAAAGTTGCTGCAAATTCATTGATCCTCCGGTATGAGTGTGGACCTGGGTGGGATAGCAACTGCTTTGACCAAGAGAGCGTAGCCAGATTGACACTAGGTGGCTGATAAGGCAGGCCATAAGGAAGGGCCGTACACCTGCTTTGTCACCTTGAGCAGTCACTTCTGAAGCCCTGATGCCTGACTACCCTAAGGACACTGCTGTGAAGAAGCCTGCATCTCATGGCAAGGCAGTGTGTAAGCTCTCAGGTTAACGTTCCCAGTTCAGCCCAGTCTTTGAGTCATTCCAAGCCAGGAACCAGACATGCATGAAGATGCCGTGATTTCAATCCCTTACCATTAGAATTTTCCCAGCTGAGGCCCCAGTAACCTTGGAGTAGAGAGCAGCCATCCCTACTATGTCTTTTTTTTTGATTCACCTTTTTGTCGGGGACAAGGGATTGAATCCAGAACCTTTTCAGTGAGCTGTATCTCCACATCCCTTTTTTAGCGTTGTTGAGACAGGCTCTTGCTATGTAGTTCAGGCTGGCCTCAAACTTGTGATGATCCCCCTACCTTAGCCTCCCAAGTGCTGGGATTACAGGTGTGCACCACCACATCCCACACCCCTAGCCCATTTTATTTTTTATTTTGAGATGGGGTCTTACTAAGCCACTAAGTTGCCCAGTCTGGGCTTGAACTCACAATCCTCCTATCTCAGCCTCCCAGTGTGCTGGGAATACAGACATACGCCACCCTCCCTGCCCTACAGCCATGTTTTAAAGCCTCCTTCCCATGTGCATGTATGATTTCCTCCCCAGTATTTTAGATCATGGAGGCATATCTATTTGTAGATCAGTTGTTTGTGTTTTTACCGGTAAATGAATAAAATAGTAACCTTTCATAATTATGTAAAAAGTTAAAGAATCTATATGACAAAGAGATTCTACAAACACACATGACAAAAGACTGACAAAGATTTTAAGGTTCAAACACTTGTATATATCACCGAATTAAATACAGTCAGCTAAAACAGCCAATGGATATGAACACCTCTAAGCAGAAGGGAAAGAATTTAGGTATACACATGTGGGCATATGTATTTATCTAAATATTTATGAAGAGATGGTCAGTTGACATGTATTTAAGGAAATGAATAATTTTTGTCTTTCATTTTTACCTAGTATATTGGCAAAGATTTAACATAATGATTTTTATCTTTTTATCAGTTTCATTGTGCAGAAAGCAATCCTCCCTTGTGAGTGTGACCTTGAAAGATTGGTGAAAAATAAATAAAAGCAAAGCACAAAAGCCATTCATTATTTTACTTTAGCGACTGCAGGCCAGAGCAGATGGTCATTTCCAGCAGAGAGCCCTGCCTGCTGCCTTCCACGCGTGGAGCAGACTCTGGCGATGGCACCAGCAAGAGGGCATCCTCAACACAACAGCAGCCTGTTTCCGCAGGTACGCGTGCAGTTCCTATCAGGTGTCTCTGGTCCAGCTCTGCCAGCCATGCTTTGCTTCTCATCCTCCCAGCCCTCCCGCTTCTGGTTCTTCATGGGTTTTCAATAGTGTGGGCCTGTTGATTTCATCTAACAGGAAAAGACAGTTATTAACTCTTGTCCATCTTTATCGCAAGCGTTTTACAAATAGCTTGTGTTTTATGCCCTGTTCTTATTTCATGAGGCTGAGAACTCCATTATAAACACCATTAGCTTTCTGGACCAGCACAGGAGGACCTGGCCTGTTCTTGGCAGGCATTCCTCAGTGTGATTTCCCTGAAATGTTTAGTTGCTGTTGCAAGACCTGGCATTTTGTACTCTTAAAATTATAGTCATCAACAAAATTAGAAAGATCCAGAAGCTGTGCTGTGCTACATCTTTTGAGCTCCCATACGACCAAACTTGCCCAAGGCAGGTCCTTCCAACGTGTTTGCAGAACATAATGAAGAAATAGTTAATTGCCGTGTCACCACTGTGGGTTGGCATTACGTGATGAAAGAAAGCAAATATATAAGCTCATTCTGCCTGTGACATAATTATCTTCATTAATAATTTCCTTCTCCTACAAGTCCTGAGAGAGCAGATTGAGGATGATAAATGACCTATATCCATGGTAACACAATCAGTAAGTGGGGGGGAGATCCAGGATATAAATTCATATCCCCATTCCAAAGTCCAGGTGATTTCTACTTGATCAAGAAGAGGATCTCTTCAATGTAGGAGCTTTAAGAATAAAGCTATTAATCCCAGTTAGGTCAGGGCACAGATTCTTCTAGACCTCAGAGATGGTACTGAGGGTAGCTGGAGAGCAAGGAAGTACGTGGGGGTGGCTTCCTTCGAAGCATGGGGATGAGGATGGAGGCCCAAACTGGGGGTTGGTCTGATCCTGTAGACAGGATGGACAGATGTTTGGAGAAGTGCATGGAGCTAGCAAGGGAACAGTTTTGGAGATTATCCCGACTATAGAGTACATCAGTTTAAGTTGGAGAGGCTGGGCGTGGAGTGTGCAATAGTAAAAACGGTGGTAATCTTGAATTTGGAGGACCCCAGATGCTGATTTGAGAAGATCACCCAGAACTCTGGAGCCCCTGAGTTCCAGAGTCCAAGGAGATGATTTTAGGGAGGTAGTCTCAGAGAATAGAGGCTGCCAAAGGCACACCCTTCGTCTCTGCCCTCTTTTGCAGAAAGACGGGCTTTACATTTACCCGATTGCTATAATGGGTCTGGTATAAGGCCCATTTGAGAAACGGTTTTAGTCTTTAAAACACACACACCCCTTTGTTTTCTTTACAAACAAACAGTCAGTACTTGCTTCTGTTGCTATTTGTATTTTGCGTGCTGGGGGTAGAAAACGTTTGAGAGTACCTTCAAAGTTGCTAAGAGGAACCTCTACAAGGATTTTTGCTGCACAGCAGCCTTGGGTTTTTGGAGTTATGACTGGAGACAAGAGGCTGGTGCGTGAACTGGAGACAGGAAGTAGCCAGGAGGCTGGAAGGATGGTGAAAGCCTGACTGAGATTTTGTTATCTTTTGGTGGTTTGATCTTTTGATTTTTGTTCTGTTTTGTTTTGTCTTTTGAGGCAGAGTCTCACTATGTAGTGCAGGCTAGTCTTGAACTTGCTTATGTAGCCCAGTAGCTGGCCTCAAACTCATGGTGATCGTCCTGCCTCATCCTCCTGAGTGCTGGGATTACAGGTGGGCAACACCATGCCTGGCTAACTCTTTTATTAAATTTCATCTTTCAGGTTTCCTCCTTCCTAGTTTATAAGGGAGCAGAATAATTGAGGGTGCGGTTGGGAAGCTGGTTAGGGCTGAGTTCAAACCTTTGCTCTGCCACCTAGCAGCTGTTACCCTGGGCAGGTCACTCACTCTGCACGTCAGTCTCCTTGAAAGTAGGGTAGAGATGCTTAGATAATAGTCCCTGTCTCATAGTTTGTCGTGAAAGCCAAATGGGATAATACATGTCATATACTAGCACGGTACCCAGCGCCAAATATAACAATCCTCCTAACCCCTAGGATCAGTTTGATTTGTAGTTCTCACGTTAGGCAAATTTTTGTAGCAGTGGTTTGTGGTTTAGCAAATTAAAATTGCCAGTATCTATCTTCTGTACTATTAGGGTCTTGGCTTAATGTGTTAGGATTACAGACAATTTATTGTGGACTGTCAATTATGACTAAAAATTATTTGTCTTTTTTTCTTTATTAGTAGATTTTTTAAAATTAAGTTTATTTGTACATTTTAGGTATACATACAGATCACATTCATCGTAGAGAATTGTGCCTGTACCTGATGTATCTTGTTTCTTTTTTTCCCCCACCATTCCCCTACCCTCCCTTCAACTCCTCTTCCTCTCCCGTATTTACGAAGGCTGTGTTTCCATTTGTTCCTCCTTTTCTCATTTTTTTTCTTTTCCCTTCCTTTCTGCTTCCCCCGTGCCTAGTTCCCCTTCCCATTTAAACATTTTCTTCCTATTGCACAGTATCTATTATACATTTTGGCCCTTATTTACACTTTCAGTTTGTCATACCAGTGCAGTATTTACACATGTGTGTCTGATGTATTTCACTTGAATATGGTCTCAAGGTGCACCCATTTACCTAGGAATATCTCAAGCTTAACCTTCTTTATGGCAGAGTGCTACTCATTTGTATAAAAAAAACACATCTTCTTTATCCTTTCATCAGTTGATGGCCATTTGGGCTGTTTCCATGATTTAGCTATTATAAACTGTGCCTCTATAAACATGGGTGTGCGTAGATCACTCTGGTATGATGCTTTTGATTCTTTCGGGAAAATACCCAGAAAGGGAACAGCTGGGTTGAATGAGACCTCTAGTCTGAGTTTTTTGAGAACTCTCCACACTAATTTCCATAGTGGTTGCACCAGTTTCCCACCAGCGGTGGAGAAGTGTTTTTTTCTCCACAGCATTTGTTATTGGTTGATTTCTTGATGACAGCCCTTCTTTCCAGGGTGAGATGGAATCTCAGTGTTGTTTTAATTTGCATTTCTTGAATGGCCAGTGATACTGAACATTTTTTCTTATATTTATTTGCCACTTCTACTTCTTCATCTGAGAAGTGTATATCGTCTCTGATGCCTATTTTTGTATTAGGTCTTTAAATTTGGGGGCTCTGATTTTTTTGGTTTTTTATATATTCTAGATAGTAGCCCTTTGAGGAACAGCTGGCAGACATTTTTTCACACACTGTGTCTGTTCGCTCTGTGGCTGGTTTCTCTTCCTGTGCAAAAGCTTTTTAATAAGATGAGATCCCAGTTGTTGATTCTTTGTGATAGTTCTTGTGCAGTTGGGGTTCTTTTCATGAAGTCTTTGCCTATACCTGTGTCTTCAAGAGTTCTATCTACTTGGGGGCTGGGGATTTAGCTCAGCGGCAAAAGCGCCTGCCTGGCAAGCGCAAGGTCGTGAGTTCGGTTCCCGGTACCGAGAAAAACCAAAAAAAAAAAAAAAAAAAAGAGTTCTATCTACTCTGTTGTCAGCAGATTTAGTGTTTCTATTTTAATAATTTAGATCTTTGATCCATTTTGATTTTAGTGTAGTACATGGTCAAAGATGTAGGTCTAGTTTTGATCTTCTGCATATGGAAAGCCAATTTTTCTAGCACTATTTATTAAAGAGGCTTTCTTTCTTCCAGTGAATGTTTTTGGCATCTTCGTCAAAGGTAAGGTGGCTGAGCCTGTAATCCCAGCACTTGGGCGGCTGAAGCAGGAGGATCATTGCAAGTTCAAGGCCAGTCTGGGCTACAAAGTGAGTTTAAGACTAGCCTGAACTGCACAGTGAGATAAAGACCATCTATCCAATTTTCTGTAGGGTTTTTATCATGAGTGGGTGTTGGGCTTTATCACATGCTTTTTCTGCGTCTGTTGAGGTGATCATACGGTTTTTGTCCTTAACTCTGTTAATATGGTGTATTATATTTATTGATTTGCATATGTTGAACCATCCCTGCATCCCTGGAATGAATCCAACTTGGTCATGGTATATAATCTTCTTGATGATTTCCTGCATTCTGTTTGCCAGTATCTTATTGAGGATTTTTACATCTGTGTTCATTAGGGAAACTTTTGACTGTTGCCTGTATTCCTTTTCTTTCTTTCTCATTAGAGTTTGTTAAGGAAAATCCAGTCATCTGGAACTTACAGTTCTGTTGGATTTTTGTCTTTTATGTGAAGTGCTTTTTGTTGTTATGAAGTGCTTTCCCACTATTCGTTTTTGTTCCGCGGCCCTTCCCCTGTTTTCAGGGAGATGTTAGAGAAGCGAATCTTTACTTTCTGGTGGCAGAAGATGTTCCAGCATCGAGAAAACCGCTTGGCAGAGAGAATAGTAAGTGGCCGTCCCTGAGGAGGTGCCTGGAGGGGTAGGACCTGTTCAAAGCCCCTGTTCCCACTGTGTCCCCTCCTTAGAAAGTTGCAGGGAAGCCAGGCCCGCATGGGTGGGCTGGGCCTCATGAGCCAGGAGCGAGGTCTGCACACCTGTGGTCATTACTGTTGGAGTTTACAGGTAGCTTCTGGGTCAGAGCACCTCCTGAATCCCCATTTCTTTTGCCTTAATCATTATTTATGGCCTGCAGGTTCTCCCCTGACTTCTGTGCCTCCTTCCTACTTGACCTGTTCTGCTCTGTTCCTTCCATCCTGCCTCAGGCCATCCTCCAGGCAGAGGGGCAGCTTCTGCGGAGGTCCTGGTCCGTGTGGCACCAGCGGGCAGCAGCATGTCAGCAGGAGCGGGAGCGGGAAGCAGTGGCCTGTGCCCAGCACCACCACACGCGGCTCAGAAACGCTTTCTGTGTCTGGAAGGAGCGTGCCCAAGGGCTCAGAACAGAGTGAGTAGACGGCCTTGCCTCAGAGCTGTCCCCAGCCCACGCCGGCTTTGACTATAGCAGCACCGTCCGCTCCACCTGCCTGTCCAGATGTTCTGTTATGTTATACTGGCTGTGAATTCCAAAAAGTCAATCCGAAATGGTGCAAGTAAAACTAAGACCATAGTGACAGGATGTTGGAACACCTCATGGCCCTCCCAGCCTCAGGAGCTCAGCTGGGACGGGGTACTCTTGGCTCTGGGAGGTCCTGTCCATTGGCCTCATCCTGTTCGTGGTGGGGGCCCATTTGAAATGACCACACCCAGGGAGCGGGCTGATGGGCCCGTCTGAGGATAGCTGGCCATTCCCGGACGGGTGACTGGCCAGGGACAGGTAGGTGGTGGCATTTTTCACACCACGTGCCTACAAGGGGCTGAGTAGCCTTGTGTGCACTGCAGAGACCATCCTGTTGTGGTGCCTTTCTGTATCCATTGTGGTACTCGGTACGCTGAGAATCTCCCACGCTCTGGTCATGCTCAGCCTCCTTTTCCATGGGGGGCTTCAGCTTGCCTGCCCATGAGAAAGCATAAACTACTCGAAGCCCTGTGGATTTGTGTGCACTCTGTGAGTGCACTCCTCTGGGAAAGAGCCCAAACCCTGCCCTTCAGAAATAACCTTGCTCTTCCCCCAAAAGTATTCATGACTGAGTGCAGGCCAGGGACCGAGGCTGGGAGGCTGGGCTGGGCTGCAGTGCTAAGCTGCATCCGTTCCCTGCAGGAGGACGAGCGGGGTGCGGGCTGCACAGTTCCACTCAGGGCGGCTCCTGCGCTGGGCCTGGAGCAGGTGGAGGGAGGTAAGGCTTCGGTGTGGGAACACCCGAGCGTGGCTTTTGCACAGGCGGAGCTGTGTGTCCGTGTGACTCAGAGCAAACAGATGGGCTCCGGGGCCGTGCCTGGGAAGCCACCTGCCTCTGAGCTGGGGGAGGAGGGCAGGCAGCAAGTAAGTGTCCTCAGATCTGTGAGACGATTCGCTCAAGACTCCACGTTCTTTTAAGTGCTGGGCTGTTCTTATCTGAACTTTCTGAATCTAAAATCTCTCACATAACCTTTACAGGAACCCTACTCAGTGTATAATTTAAGCTGACGTAGATCACGCATTTACTGTAAGTCAGGCACTTACCTCATTTGATCCTCGGAAAACCTTCAGGAAGTATGGAGCTGGAGATGAGCAAAGCGAGGCTCCCATGACCCCACAGAGTGTAAAATGGAAGCGCACCTGGAGCCAGCCCCCGCCTCAGTCTCTGCTCAGCCCACAGTGGTCATGCTCTCCTCTGTCCACAGAGCCTGGCCCTGCGGGCAGCCGAGCAGCAGAAGCTGATGCGGGCGGACCTGCACGGCCAGCGCGCCGTGCTGCGAAGAGCACTGCGAAGGTGGCTGGTAGGAGCGCCTGTTTCCTCCGGACCTCCTTGTGGTGGGGGCAGGGCAGGCTTCTGGAGACCGTTTCCCTTTTCCTCCAGCACCTTCCCCAGAGTAATCTAGCAAGCCTCAATAGAGCAGATGGCCCAGACCATGAGTTCTATAGCCACAAAGGCCATCAGTCCTTGCTGGGCAGCGTGAAAACAGTAGGCACCAGCTTTACAGAACAAGTGGCTCTGTGTCCAGGGGTTTGACCTATAGGTGAGGGCCGAGGGCGACAGTCTTGGGGCGGGGTCTGCTGGCTTTGGAACAGCGGCCGTCCACCTCTTCCCACTTCGTGAGTGCTCTGGGTATATACATACACCTCAGAGGCCTCCCTGGGACTCAGAGCTGGGCTCCAGTCCTCATCGTCCACAGGCTTACCAGGGCAGAGTGTGGAGCGTCCTGCAGGAAGTGGCGGTCAGGGAGAGCCAGCACAACCGGCAGCTTACCCGGTGAGTCTCGCACGTCTCGGGTTCCGGCTGAGGGAGGAAGAGCAGCTCCAGAGCCTGGTGCTGTGGGGAGTCCTGTCTCTGGCCGGGCAGAGGATGGGCCTGAGCGCCTCATACCACCCGTATTGTGGTTCTGGCTTTTTCCCAGCAAGCACTGCATTTACCTGTCCACCTCAGCATGTCTTGAACTCTTGCAGTGCGTAGGGCCAGCCTTGGAAGGAGAACCTGGATGCCTGCGAGGCCCCGCACTTGTCCTGCTCCTCTGTGTGCTTTTCCCTCCCTGCTTCCACTTGCAGGTTTCAGCCTCTTGAGACATTGTCCCCTCTCCTGCCTCGGAGCCTGCAACTCGCCCTTCCCTGTCACGTCCCAGGCAGTTCCTTCCCAGCCCTCTAGGCCCACGTGCATCTCTCAGCCCCTGGAAGCCACTGTGGCACACCTTCCATTCTTTCTAAGCCCAGCTCCGTTGCTCCGTCCCAGGAGGCCTCTCTCTCTTCCCTCTTTTCTTTTTTCTCTGGTATTTGTTCAGCACGTGCTATTCTGAATGGCCTGTGGGAGTGAACCTTGTAGACTTTAAAAACCTCTGACCTTCTGGGGTTCCATAAAATGCCACTTGGTCCTTTGGACCACCGGGAGTAAGAAGAGGCCTTCCCCAAGCTAACTCCACAAAAGCGTGCGCACGGATTTGGGTAACCTTCCTCCAGCTCCCCATCTGTCTGTACCTCTCTCATCATGCCATGAATCACCTATATTGCCTGATTTGGCTGTGGGTCACATAAACGCAGGAGGATGTGGTGTTAGCCCCTGTGCGTTGCTAGGTCCCTGGTGCTCACCCAGAGCCCAGGTAAATCCTAAATACTCAGTGTCCACTGGCTATAGACATGAGCCTGAACTTGGCTGTGAGCACAGTAGATGCTCTGCAGCAGAGCCCTTAGGAGTGGGGAAGAACAAGGAGTGGTTCACAGAGGATACTTACATCCCTCCACACTGGGGTCTCTTGGCCTCCCCTGGCCCGTGAACCCGTAGGTGGGCATTACGTCGCTGGAGGAAGAACACTGTGGCCCGTGCAGATGAGACCAGAAAATCCTCTCAAGCAAGTGCCCACTACAGAAGGACCTTGTGTTCCAAGGTGAGGTACAGGAGGATAAGCTGGTCACCCAGGGGCTTGGAGACCGTGGCACAGCCAGGGAGTGGGGCAGAGGCTGGTGCCAGAGATAGCACTGAACAAGGAACCCAAAAAATGAGTAACTCTCTTGCAGCACACATACCTGGATCGATTTGTATCTGTAGGTGTATTTTTACGGAATTTGAACCAGTACGTATTAAAATAAAAATATACTAGCCAGGCATGGTGGTGTGCCAACTCTCAGGAGGCTGGGGCAGGAGAAGTGTTCGAGGCCAGCCTGGGCTACATAATGAATGAATTTATCTATCTGTCTATTTATTTGTTTTTGGTACCGGGAATCAAACTTATGACCTCGTGTTTGCCAGGCAGGAATTGTGCTGCTGAGCTATGTCCCCAGCCCCAATGTAGTGAATTTAAGGCCAGCCTGAACCACATAGCAAGACCCTGTCTCCAAAAATAAAATAAAAATAAAATCGTGCTACATAGCAACTGAACTGGTTCCTATCAAAACCAGTATTTTCCATACACATGGAACTTTCCACTGGGCGAAAGTAAATTACCTAGTTCCTGTCTCATCTGTCAGAAGAGGATGCTGGTTCCTGCTCCCCAGTCTCACAGATCCCACAGCCACAAGCCCTTTCTGGAAAATACAGAGCTTCCCAGGAAAAGGAGGTCCCTGTCACTGTTAGTGAGAAGTGGCCTCAGACCTCCACCTTGTTTCCTTGACTGGCATGGGTATGGGGAAACGGCACATGGCTGACGCGGTCCCTTGCTCTGAGGGTAGAGAAGAGGGCAGGGCATGCTGTGGGAAGAAAACGTGTTAAAGAGGGAGTTCGAACAATTAAACTGACAAAGGTAGTCCGTGATCCCCAGATGTTTTAGAGGAAAGCAAATTACCAGGAGCCGTGCGTGGCACCATTTCACCTGCCGGAACACCAGTGGGGCTGGTCCTGAGAGCCGGGGAAGTTCTGTGGAGGAGGAACAGCAACATCTGGTCAAGGCCAGTCTGTTCTCGGGAAATTTTTGAGGCCAGCCTTTATTTCTGTTGCTCTGAAAGGAGGAAGACAGGAACCTGCCTGTCTCAGAGCTTGGAAGGGAGGAGTTCCTTACCCTCTTGCAGTTTGGGCGGACTGAACCCAGGGGTGCTGTACCACTGAGCTGTATCCCCAGCCCTTTAAAAGGTTCTAGACAGGGGCTGGGGATTTAGCTCAGCGGCAAAAGTGCCTGCCTGGCAAGCGTAAGGTCGTGAGTTTGGTTCCCGGTACTGGAGAAAAACCAAAAAAAAAAAAGTTCTAGACAAAAGATTTGCTAAGTTGCCCAGGCAGGACTCCTCCCTTTGCCTCGGCCTCTCAGGAGGCCTTTTTGGTAGGAATGGAGTTTATGACTGTGTGGAGTAGAAACCAGGCTGCCTTTTCAAACATTTGTTACTAGATTTCATATGTATCTCATAGAAAAGTGGTGTCAGCTTTCTGTCACTGTAACAGAATACCTTAGAAAAACAACTTAAAGACAGATTCGTTTTGGTGCATGGTGTCAGAGGTTTCAGTCCGTGGTCAGCTGCTTCCATTGTTGACAGGCCTGTGGTGAGGGGGAAACATCATGGCAGAAGGGTGTGGTGGCGGAAAGCTGCTCGCATCAGGGCAGCCAGGAAGCAGAGGGAGAGAAAATCAGGCAGGGAGGAGGTGGGGACAAAATGTAATCCCCAGAGCTGGGCGTGGTGATACACGCCTGTAATCCCAGCACTTTGGAGGCAGAGGCAGGAGGATTGCTGCACGTTTGAGGCCAGCCTGGACACATAGAGTTCAACACCAGCCTGGAATGTATAGTGAGACCCTGTCTCCAAAAAAAAAGAAAGAATTCCGCAAGATCACATTCACATGACCCATTCCCTTCCCCTGGGCCCCACCTCGTCAATTTCCATTGCCTCCTAAAAATGCTGTCAGATTATGAATCCGTATTAATCCACTGATGTTAGAACTCTCATGGCGCAGTCACCTTCCAAAGCCCTGCTTCTGAACACACGGGCCTTTTGGAAGACACTTTAGACCCAAACCATGGTAAGTGCATGTCTTACACGTTCTGTTTAACAAATAATAGAATTAAAGCCCATGTGACAAGTTCTCCGTTCTATGGCATGATGTGGACTATCAAAATTCTTCGGATTGTCAAGTACCAGCACAAGTTATATCATGTGCAGTACATATTCTCTGTGATGAATGTGATCATTATATATGCCTAAAATGTACCAATAAAATCTGATGGGGAAAAAAAAAAAAAAAGAAAAGCACCAGTACCTAAGGGACCTCAGTACCTTCCTGAGAAGGCCCTGAATCTCTGTCCCTAGGTCTGTTAGATGGTCTTTGTGGATGGCAAGTGCTTCCTGGAACAAGTGTGAGGTCCAGATTTCAGCCACTTGGCCTCACCTCAGGAGGAGCCTAGGACCTAGCACAGTGATGGCGAACCTTCTAGAGCTTCCAGTGATAGCGAACGGCCCGTTGCGGTACACACGCTGTCGGCTCGCCACCACTGACCGAGGAGGTCCCCAGAAGTCAGGCCAGGTCAGGATAACCTCCCTCTTCCTTGTCTGCCTGTAGGTCCTGGTCCAGTGGCGGGAGGTGGCCTCGGTGAGGATTTATTACCGACAGCAGGAGGCCTGTGCCCTCAGGGAGGCCCGGAAGGTGCTGGAGAGGGGTAAGTGCGGCCCGGGGAAGCAGGTAGTATTGAGAGGAACGTGAAGGGTATAGAACAGGCCTGGGGGTCCCTGTGCTCCCCACAGTCTGTCTCCTCTTCATGTGCACTAGCTTCCTCGGGCGCCCATGACTGAAAAGCTTCAGACAACAGGAAATTACTCTGTCCCAGTGCTGGGGACTAGAACTCCAAAGTCAGGGTGTCCCCGGTGCTGAGCTCTCCCCCAAGGCTCCTTTACTCTTCTGCTTCTGCTGGTTGCTGGCCATCCCAGCCTCCTCCTCCATGGGATGGTCCCCTCTGAGTCTGAGTCTTACGGACACCAGGCGTGTTAGAGTCGGGATTTACCCTGCCCTAGTACGACATCATCTTAACTCAGTACATCGGGACTGACCCTATTTCCCAGCGCACAGTCTCAGATTCAGGAAGGACACGAGTGTCCTGGTGCAGCAAGGCAGGAGGGGGGGCACTGTTCAGTTCGGTGCGTCGTAACGTTCCGTTCTTAGCTGATTCTCAAGCAGTTTATGTTGAAATAAAAGACCAAGGCCTGAGATCCACAAGGAAATTAATGGAGCTGGAATGAACGAGTTCTAGGGGGCCAGGGAGGGGGTTGTTTCAATGGGAAAGTCCCTCCATTGCAGAGCTGCTTGTCAGGTCAGCCCCAGTGGCATTAGTACCCTGGCTGCTGCTTTGTATAGTTGGTCTCTTGTGTGTCCAGGGATCAGTTACTTGCTTAGTCGACCTACTCTGAGTCGGCCCATTAGGAAGGCCCACTACCTGCTATATAAACATGCTCAGACAGAGTCCAGGGCAGGGGTTGGTGCCCCTTTATGTGAGACACGTGCGGAGATTTGGCTCCTAATGTGGTTTGGGGGCCCGTAGTGGGGAAATCCAGTACTCCAAAGGTCGCAGCTCAGATAAGATTGGATGTAGTGGCACACCCCTGTAATCCCAGCACTTGGGAGGCTGAGACAGGAGGATCACTGGGAGTTTGAGGCCAGCATGTGGGACTGTCTCTAAAAATTTCTTTTAAATTAAAAGATGAAAATAATTACAAGTAGTTTAAATTGGACTACAGGAAAAAAATCTGTCAAGTTGGTTCTGTTTTATTTTTTGTTTTGGGTTTTGTTTTTGTGTGTGTGTGTGCAACCAGGCCCAGCTCTGCTCAAGTTGTTTATTTGACTTAATAATTAAGTTTGCTATAGAACAAAAGTTCATTTGCATTGTTTAGGTTGTGACCATGCTGTATATGTTGATTATAGCACTGTTTCTAGCTCTTTCCTAAGAAAGCAGGGGTTTATCTCATCCTTGACTTCTGTCTGAAAAGAACTTTTGTACCTAGTACAGTTTGGGTGGGCTGCCCACTGCACTGGACAGTGTTCACCCCTGGCCGTGGTGGGAAGGTAGAGGGGACAGGTTCCAGATGCAGCCTGAAGTTACTTTTCTCTGAAGGACTTCCCTTGAGAGAGACCAGAAGTGGGGAGGTGGCTCGGCGTGGGCCCTGGAATAGCTGTGTTCATGATGGCACAAGGGTCTTGGGAGCCTGGCCAGCAAAACATTGTGCACATAGTAGGCACACAGTAAATACCTGTGTGGGGCCGGGGATGTAGCTCAGCAGCACAGTGCCTGCCTGGCAAGTGAAAAGCCCTGAGTTCAATTTCCAGCACCAAATAAATAAATGCCTGTGGACCAGTTTCTTGGCCTGCATTAAGGTCTCCATCTCAGTCAAATCTTCCCTGGGTCCTAGGGGAGCAGGGGCTAAGGGGAAGATACGAAACACATCAAATGGAGTGCTTAAAAAATGCAGGCAGCGGGGCACAGTGGTGTGTGCCTGTAGTTCTGGTTTCACAGGAGGGGAAAGGATCACTTGAGTCCAGGAATTCAAGCTCAGCCTGGGCAAAAGAGCAAGATACGGTCTCAAAAGCGGTGGGGAGGCAGCTTAGCTAGGTGTGGTGGTGTGCACCTATATATAATCCCAGCTGTTTGGGAGGGTGAGGGTTGCTTGAGCCCAGGAGTTTGGGGTCGGCCTTCAAAATATAACAAGACCTCATCTCTAAAAAGAATTAGGGATAGTGCTGGCTAAGGGTCATAACCTGGCTGTTAGACCTTACGCAAGTTATCCCTCCCGAGTCTTAGTTTCTTCATCTGTAAAATGGGGATGTGTGCTACCTACCTACCAAGATTGTCACTCAGGAAGATCTGGTGATACATATGCAGACACGTACACTCTTAAAGCAGCACCCAAGAAATGCCAGCACTCAGGACAGACATTAACCCTCCAATGTCTCCCGGAGGGCTCCCCATCCAGGTGTCATCAGTGCCCAGTACCAACCCTCTCTGTTGTCTTGAAAAGAAACCTTTCGGGCCCAAGAAAATTCACCAAACGGAGAATCTGGCGACACAGAAACAAAACGCAGAGCCAGTAGTCAGGATGTGGCTGGCAAAGAAGCGTGTGGTCATGGCCCGGACTGGCTTCTTGGACTGAGCCCTGGTCTCCTCCTTGTAGAGTGAGGCCACCTCTGCTTCGGAGCTTCAGCTCCAGCCGGAGGGGCTCCTCCTTCCCGGTGCCTGACGACTCCTTGTGTGCGGCCCTGCGGCCTGGCACACCCGTGGCAGGCTTGTGGCTCTGGGAGGGTCCTCGGGGGCACAGCATAATCAGGTCTGGCTCTAGTGCTCAGGGTGCGCATGCTCGCTGACGGCTCATGCACACACTTGGCCCGTGTGTGGAGATTTTACTCGCAGGGGCTGGACATCCCGTCTCCACGCCACAAACCTCCTCTGCTCTCCAGACTTCTGTGTTGTAATGGAAATCCTATAAAAGACAAACTCTGGCTTGCATCTGCTATAGGTTGTCTCCGCAGCTGGTTTCGGCGCTGGCGGGATCACAGCCAGAGGGCTGCCGAGCAGAAAGCCCAGCTGGAGCGGGCAGCCCAGCACCACCACCGGCAGCTGCTGCGGGAGGCCGTGGCACGGTGGCAGGCGCACCATCTGGAGTGTGTCAGGAAAAGGGTGAGGCGGGTGGCAGCTGCTCCAGCTCCCTCTCACGTGGCAGGGGCTCTCCAAGCCAGGCGCCCACCTCGTGGGGGGCATCTTTTCAAATAAAACTCAAGGTAGCTGGCATGGGTGCTGGGTGGTTTGAGGGTCCTGTGGAAACAAGCTTTCTGGAGTCTTTCCAGAAGTTTAACGGAGGCTGGGGCAGCCTGCCTCAGAATTGAGTCTTCCCCAGGGGGAGGCGGCTTGGGAGAAAACCCTGGCTCGACCTGACCCCTGGTTTGTTGGAGCTGGGGACATTTGCGGGGCCGTGTAGACACCCGCTTCCTGTGCATCATCTAAGATGACATCTGGCCATGGAAGGACAGTTCATGTGGGCTGGAAGCCTCATCCTGGGGCTGCTGCAGGTGGTCTGGGCTGGACAACGGGCCAGGGTTGGGGTGTGGCTGACTTGTGTGCTTGCTTTCTCCCCAGATCCTGCGGCGGCAGAGCACGCAATTCTTGGCGCAGAGACTCAGCTGGGCCTGCTTCCTCCAGTGGAGACGACAGGTGGGAGCTGCATGACACAGGTTCCCTCTTCCCACTGGCTCAGCAGCCTGGCTGTGGGTAATCCCAGCCCATACCCTAATTGATTCTTTAATTGGCCTTTGTCAGAGGACTCCCTGCCACTGCCTAACCCTTCCAGTCACTTCCCACCACCATCAGCTTTCTCCTATTTCTAGAAGGTTGGTCACTTCAAGGCCACTAAAGTCTTACTACAGAGCCAGAAGAGGCTGGGTGTGGTGGCGCACACCTGTAATCCCAGGAGGCTGAGGCAGGAGGGTTGCTGAGTTTGAGGCCAGCCTGGGCCACATAGTGAGTTCAAGGCCAACCTGAGCTACATAGTGAGACCCTGTCTCAAAAAAAGAAAAAAAAGCCAGAAGGGTCTCACAGATTCTGCACAACAAGCACATGGTCCTTCCTGCTGTCCTTGCTAGAGCACCGTTCCAGCTCTCCTCCCACCTCCCTACAGCAGTCCTTCAGGAGCCCAGCCTGCTGGCCCCACCTGCTCCTTCCTCCGCTTTCCTCCTTTCCTAATATCACTCTCTGACCCACAGATCGGAAGTGTGTTGAGCACTTCATGGCCGGGCCTGGGCTGTGCCCTTCTGGGTGGGAGGAGGGAAGCAGAGGGATGAGCTGGGCAGAGTGAACACGGCCACAAGGCCGGGGTGGCCTCCTGGGTAACCCAGTCTTTCTGGCTGTAGCTAGAGGCCAAGAGGCGGGAGCAACAGAGTACAGCACGGGCCCTGTGGTTCTGGGCTTTCTGTCTACAGGCAAAGGTAATAGGGGCTCACATCCTGCGGCTCCTGCCGGGCGGGGGACAGTGGTCTGGGCGGGGTGGGTCTTGGCAGATCCCTGAGGGAGCCCTGAGCGGGACATCTGACCTCACCCGCCGCCCTCCCTGGAGGCTTGGGCTGCATGGCTGGGCTTCGTGAGAGAAAGGAGGAGGAAGAAGGTTCGGCTGGAGCAGGCAGTGCAGGCCTATCACCGGCAGCTGCTCCAGGAGGGCGCAGCCCAGCTCCTGCGCTTCGCAGCCAGCATGAAGGCCTTCCGGCAGCAGCTGCAGGCGCAGCAGCAGGTCCAGGTAGGCCCAGGTCCCCTTGTTGTGAGGAGTGGGCAGGGCAGGGCAGGGCAGGGCAAGGGCTGACAGAAGCTCTGTCGCAGGCGGCCCACAGTCTCCAACGTGCAGTCCGCCGCTGTGCTGAGATCTGGAAACAGAAGGTGCTGGGCGCAGGCTGGGAGTCTCAGCACCTAGCACCCATTGCACCCAGCAGGAGAGTGGCATTTGAGGGTCCCCTTCTTGACTTTGTTGCTGCTGGAGCTGGGGATGCCACTTCGGAAGCCAAGCGACTGCGAGCCCAGCAGCGTCGGGCAGCCCTGGGTGGCCTGGTGCCCGCTGCTGGGGAGCCCCAGCTTCCGGAGCTGTGAGTGGTGCACGCTGTGCCTCTTCCTCCTGGCGCTCTCCTGGGACAAAAGCTGTGACAGCACAGGTGGGAGGAAGCCGGGCCCTGGGAGGGCCGGGAGGCCGCTAACAGCCCGGTCACAGCTGAGTTGCTTAGCATTCTTCTCTGGCAGGATCTTGTCCTGCCGAGGGTGTATGGGAGAGAAGGCAGTGGGTTTGCAGACCCTTCTTTCGGAGGAAATGGGTGCCCTTTCCCTGCATCACCTTCCTGCCCCTCCCCCGTCCTGACACACAACGGGCTGTTGGGCAGAGGGACCCCAGGCCTGCCAGTCTCACCTTTTTTTTTTACAGCCAGAATACCTGACTCCCTGTCAGAGATCCCACCTTTTGAGACCTGGCACCTGCCTCTGCCCCCTCCCTGGGTGGTGTCCCCAAACCTTTCCCCCATGTGCCCCTTGTCAAGGCACTTGATGACTCCTGGAATAACCACTGCTGCCAGAGAGCCTCGGGCCTGACCAGGGACCGGCGTGGCAGTGGGGCTGAGAGCGGGAGGGTGCTTCTACCAGGCCTGGGCCCCTGTCCCTGCTCTGTCCCCTCCCTGTCCTTGGTAGAAGCCTAAAGTCTCAGAGGCTGCTGCCCCGTGACATGTTAGGGACACCCATGTCTCTAGGGTCAAAGTACCCATGGGTGAGACACCCACAGTATCAGACAACCTTCACTAGTACTGCTGGAAGTTCTGCAGGCCCAGGTCCACCCTGCATACTTGCTGACCTTGGACAGAAGCATGCTTTGTCTTTTATCCTCCTATAAAACTGGCCCCTTGCAGCCCCATCAGCCAGAGGAATAGACCCCACGTTTCTTCCCAGCAGTGCTGCCCGCTCGGCAAGGAAGCAGCCACGATGCCCACATTTTCTGCTGGAACCCGTGCAAAGCCAGAGGTCCCTAGGGTGTGGAACACTCAAGGGGCAGGGGTAGGTTATGTGGTCATGGCCCCCCAAACATGACATTTCCACCAGGGGCCTGTATTTTGCTGACCCGCTTTCCTTCCTGTTCAGTGCAGAGGGGCCCAGAGAAAGGTTCCACAGCCTGTCCATCTTGCCTTCCCTCTCTCAGGCCTGAGAAGCCTCAGGAACAGGGCCAAGGTCTGGCCTGGTCAGCAGGCCCTTCTCTGCCCAGACCCTTCCTGACTGGGGCCCTGCCAAATACTCCTGGCCCGAGGGCACCTTCTGCGGCAAGTCCAAGTCCAGAACTCCTGCCTCCTTCCTCCTTCAGGCCCCTCAGGGCAGGAGCGGCAGCCTGGGTAAGTCCTCCACCCCCACGCCCGGTCAGCACCTCCCACTCTTTGCTCTGACCTTCCTCATTCCTCTGCACTATAGACACAGCTGTACCCATTGTTTCTGGAACACGCTAGCTTGGAAAGACACAGGAGGCCTCATTCACTCAGTAAGTGTAGGTGCCTCTCACACCCGATCTGAAGGACACCGAGAAGCTTCTGTCCTCACGGCAGGACAGCCAGGAAGGCTGTGTAAACCCACAGCGTGGGTCCGGCAGGGCACCATGCAAAGTGTGGAATGGCAAAGAGGCGGGAGCTGCTGAAGGACTCCTAGCAGGGGCACCGCTTCTGGTCTTTAACAGTGCCAGTGCCAGGTGGTTGGGCAGCTGCGAGCCACATGACCCAGACAATAGGTGCTGCCATAGAAGCCTCGGCACTGCAGCCAGTTCTCCGGGTCGGACAGATCCTCTTGGAAAAGTGAACAGAAGCAGGACTCCAGGGTGATGCTTAGGGTCCTGGCCTGAGTAACCTGGGAGGGATGAGTTTGTATGCATACAGGAAAACGGGGCGGGGCCTGGTGTGGAGTGACACCCCGAGTCCCTTTTGACCCCGTCAGATTTGGAAGAAAGCAGCGCTGAGACTGATCTCTGGAGAGTTCAGGGCTGGAGTCCTCAGCACAGTTTGTTGAACCCTTGGAAGCTGCTGAGGTCACCCAGGATGAGAATATAGAGGGACAGCGGACAGGCTGATGTCGAGGGCCCCTGCAGGGGTGGCCAGGGGCTGAGAGACAGGCTGAGGCTGCCTACGAAGGTGGTACCTAAGGGGAGTGGGATGCGGACAAGAACACCAGTGCCTCCCTCAGCGTGGCCGGGGTGGGGTGTGGGCTCAGGAGGGCCTCTTTCCCTGCTGTTGGGAGTGACGGGTGGGGTGGCCTTAGAAGGGGCAAGCGCACTGCCCAGGAGAAGAGGGGACGTGGGAGTGGGTGGAGGAAGGCTACAGGTGTGGTGGGACAGGAGGAAAACTGCCTTCAACCAAGCTCTCAAGGTCATGTGCTCCGAGCAAGATGGAGGTGTGAGGCTGAGGAAGACTTGACACAGCTGCTGGGGACAGTGCTAACAAGGCCCCTGCACGGGGCTGGTGCAGTGGGGTTGCTTGTGGGACTTTGCCAGTGATGCCAGGTACTGGGTAAGCTGGTTAGGGCAGGGCAGGGCCTGGGGTTTCCCGCTCCTGCAGCTGGGGGCTCACTTACCCCTCCCCTTGCAGGGCACAGTGGGCAACAGGCATTGAGACAGAGGATGGAGACATGGTGCCTTCCTGTCAGGTGTCCTGTCTTCTCTTCTAAGCGTCCACCTCTCCTTTACAGACGTCAGCACAGCCCGCCCCTGGGTCTAAACCCCAGGCTCCCCCAACTCTGGCCTGTGGCCCTGACCCTCATCTGCTCCTGCCTGAGGACTTCACAGGCGCCAGGGCCAGGCCTGGTCTTGGCATTGAAGCTGCAGGTGAGTACTTGGGGCCTTCACAAGGCAGCACTCAGCCCAGTCCTTCACCGTGGACTTGATGCTCTTCCTGGTTCGAGGGGAAATGGTCAAGTTAAGCTCCTTCTGTTGCCACAGGCCACATGGACCTTGAGGCTGAGCTGGAGGGGATCCAGCAGCAATTACAGCACTACCAGACCACCAGGCAGAACCTCTGGTGAGCATCCCAGGACGTGCCGTGGCCTAGGAAGGCAGGAGGTTCTGTTTCCCTGGGGCTGGTTTACCTGCGAGGGGAGTGAGGTGCGGTGTGCTGTGTGAAGCGTCCTCTCCCTGCTGTGCCACCCGCACACCTGTTTATTAAGGAAGGCCCAAGTTGGCCTCACCTGGGGTGGGGAGGCCCTACCTTTGATGGGGGATGATGACACTAAACAAGACTTGTAAACCCTAATCAGGTCGTGTCTACCCAGTGACTGTGATTCTAACACAGGAGAGAGGTATGAAGCGGACAGGCCTATGGCCCAGCTGCACCCAGCAGTCTGAGAACCACCAGTTGTAGCAGCCTCAGAGATCTGGGGCAAAGGCTGGTCCCTTCATTCCCAGCTCTGCAAAGATTACGGGTGTTTTCAGGGGCCCACCCATTTACTGGTGAAGGTGGAGGAGGCTGAGGGATAAACAACTGTTGGCCTCCCAAGCCAGGTCCTGCATCTCAGGGCAGGGGGCCTTCCAGGCCTTTCTCCACCTTCTCCCTGCATGAGAATTAGCTGCTTTGCTTCTCCCTGAGCCAGAGAGACTGCCTTAAGGCTCTGCCAAGAACCCAACCTGGCAGGCAGCAGGTGTCCACATCCTCAGGTCCTGCCAGCGACAAGCAAGCAGCTTGCGAAAGTGGCTGGAGTTGAGCCAGGAGGAGCCCAGGGCGGAGGACCACGACGCAGAGCAGCAGATGCAGAAAGAGCTTGAGGAGGTGAGACCCCACGCTAGTCCCAGGGGCAGTTCCCTGGGCTGTGCATCCTCTCAGTTCAGCCTGTCCCCCGCCTGCTCCCAGGTGGAACTGCAGATCCAGCAACTGTCGGAGGAGCTTCAGGCCCAGCGCCAGCCCATCCGCTCCTGCACAGCACGCATCCAGGCCTTGCGGCAGGCTCTGCACTAATGGGCCCACCCCAGGGAGACAAGTGCTGTTGGTGCAGGGCAGGCTTCGGGCCACCTCCAGGAACATAAAACAATGCTAGCATGTTTTACAGTTTTATGGGTTTTTTTAATTCCAAAATGCCTTGCAATTAAATGAATTACTGTTCAGAAGTCTCCTGCTTTTCATACAAAAATACTGTGCTACTGATACAGTTGAAAAAGTTCAATGACTTCTCCTGCAGGAGAAATTCACAGCGTTCCCAGGATCAGCACAAAACTCAGCCTCATCCCCACCAGTAGGCTCCCCAAGGCCTACATACCTGTCACCCAGGACAGGTTTTCTAGGCACTGATCCACCGTTAAGGCTCTTTTGCCTTCAACGCAGCCACAGCCGCTGGGCCAAAAGCAGCAATTTCCCCCACTTCTTAGAGGGCTGGATCTGGGGAGGGAATACCAGCCCCCACCCTGGTCCTGAGCTAGGCCTCCACTTGTTGCCCTGTTGACTGCGGCTGCCTCCAAGGCGGACAGTAAATGTCTTGCCTGCTACAGGCAGGGCTCAGCCAGCTCTGGAAGGTCACTCCTCAGGGCCTATGGAGGGCCACTTCATTAGTCACCATCCTCAGAAAACAATGGCAAAGTCCAAGGCAATGCATTCAGCCAAAGATGCAAAGAAGATTCTGCTTTTCCAACAAGCAGGGCGAGGGAAGAATAAGAAGAGAAGGCCCCGTGAGGCCTGCTCTGAGGAGAGGGTGGGTCCACGGTCCTTACCAGGGAGGGGCCTTACCCTGGGGAGGACAAGGGGAAGGCCAGAAAAAGCACAAGGGGCTGCAGAAGACTGTCCCGTGATGGGAGGAGCAGCTACAGGGCACTTTAGCACTCACCGTCTTCAATGTCCAAGACCAGCTGAACACTCAGCCAGGAGATGTGTGGGGTCTCCAGTTTACACATGTTACAAAAGATCTACAAGTGACTCAGATCATTCCCACTGACACATTTTCTCTGTAGGGTAGGCCTAGGGCATCATACGGGCTCTGGCTGCCTTGTGAAAAGGGTCCAGAACCTCTTGTCTGCACCCTGGGACGGGCAAGAGCAGATCATTGAAATCCTACCAAGCCGACACCCTGTGGCCCTGTGGTGGTCACCTGGACATCCTCAGGGCCTAAAAGACCCTTATACTCCTGTGTAGAAAGATTCGCTCAGCAGCCATAGCCAGGAAGAGGCCTTAGAGGGAGCCCAGCGCCTCCCCAAAGCGGATCTTCTGTCCTGCTTTCAGCCTGAAATTGAAGTCCTTGGGGGCCTCGAAGATGAGCACAATGGTGGAGCCCAGGTTGAACTCGCCCAGGTGCTCGCCCTTGCGCATGGGCACGCCCTCCTTGTTGGCATGTGTCACAAAGCTGAAGTCATTGTAAGAACCCTTGCTGTATCTTGGACTGTTGGTGTGCAGGTCCTGGGAACGGGGAATGGGTAGGAGTTAGAAGTGGCTTAGACTGGGGAATGCCACCCTTGCCTGCATCTGGAGTCCTGCTGCTGGTCCTCCAACCCCCTCCCCCAGCTCAGAATGAGTGGCAGGGACAGCATCTCAGGGTCACGACGTCTAGCCTAACCAGAAGTCCCAGTACCTGCTGTGAAGCAGGCTCACGAAGAGAATTGAGACCCAACTGTTCTAGCACAAATGGTGCAAGGCCAGCGCCCTCAGCAGTCAGAGTGACAGCCAAAAGAAACCAAGTTCTCCATGTGTGCAAGCCAGCTTTAGGCAAGTAGACACTTGCTCACACTCTGGCCTCGTGTGAGGGACCCACCCCAAGCTCAGGACTCCTCCAGGTCTGCCCTTACTCTTGCCTCTGACCACAGCTTCTGGCAGAGGAAGATGCCAGGCAGGGAAGTTACTTCTCAGCTACCTCCACACAGGTGAGTGGCAAAGGACGGAGGCCTCAGCTGGCAAGGGCACCCACCAGAGCAGTAGCTCAGCAGTCAGGTTTTGCAGGGTCGAGGTCCTGCTAGAACTTACAGGCCCCAAAGATCATCTGTACAGCAGATGGGGCAAATGGACCTAAGAAAACCAGCCCCAGGGCTTTAGCATGGCCTAGGTTCTGCTTACCCGGTCAAAGTAAATACGAATAGAGCCCACGTTGGTGGCCCCCACAGCTGTTAATGAGAAGAAGCCATGTTTCCAGTCCCCTGTCAGGACTACCCGTTCATTGTGGCAGAAGAGCTCTTTGATCCAGCGGGCCATGCCAGGGTTCACAGACATCAAGGAGCCTGTGGGGACAAGAAACATGCCACTTGCTGTCCAGAGCCAGCATGGCCCAAGACCCAGAGGGGCTCATGGCCTGTCGCCTCAGTGTCAGTCCAAATACAGAGCTCCCAGGCCCAGCCATCCTGAAGCCGTCAGCTCCTGGCCTTGACCAACCCAGGCTGAACCTGGTCGCCTGACACCAAGGAACGGAGGCCTCTGAAGCCCATGGGGGCAGCTCCCACCCACAGGCCAGCCCTGGGCCTACCTGGGAAGTGGCGCCTGTGGGAGACAGTCCAGTCAGTGGGGGAGTGGAAGCAGTGGTAGTCCCCGGGGGCCAGGTAGATGACACAGTGGTACAGCTCATTCCCTTCCCGGGTGACCAGCTGGTTTCTGAAGGAGTCCTTCCCAGGTGACCAGCCTTCTGAGGAGGCTGTAGGGTAGAGCAGAAAAGAGCCAAGCTCTCAGAGGAGCTCTGGGTGCCATCCAGCCCATGTGACGGTGAGCATCCAGCGTGGAGCCCGGACACCCTCCCAGGAAGGCCCAAGGCTTCCAGTGACTCCCGGTCCCACCACCGGAGAAGGCCAGCCTGCTGCCCAGAGCCTGCCCGTCTTTCCTTCCGCCCTGTCCCACTCTCCCTCCCTCAGCCTTAGGTACCAGCCCCGGCACCGACCGGGCAGTGACTCACCTGGGGGGAAGGGCAGGTCCTCCGGGTAGGTGCGAGGGCCCAGGAACGACTCCAGTGAGTAGGTGACCCCCTTCACTTGCTCGACCTCACAGTTCTTCACCTGCCCGAAGTTGAGGATCTTCCCATCGGATGGGCTGATCTGGAGGGGCCAGAGAGGCTTGACATCAAGACAAAAAGTCCTCCCTCCAGGACCCACACCTTATCTGCCGAGCACCCACAGCTCCACCTCCCTGCACGTGCTGGACAGTCCGCACCTCACTGTGTGGGGAAGTAGGGCCAGCTCGGGAGAGCCACTACAGGGGCTGTGGACAGTGGGGGCTGCTGGGCTCGGTTCACAAATGCAGGCAAAACTGCCATTTCCAGAAGAACAGACGCAAGAGATGGGCCTTACCACACTGTGCAGGCCACAGACAGGCCGGGCCTGTGGCTTCAGCTTGCGCCGGAAGAACTCGCTGAGGTTGCGGTAGTGGTGCAAGTCCTCCACGGCTGCCTCCTTCATGTTCACCCCGAAGGTCCAGATGTACAGGCTGTAGACAGGCCGGCGTAGCCAGTGCGGCAGCTCCACCTGGTTGAGGCGACCCCAGGCCCGGGACAGCAAACGCGTTGGCACTGACTTGTACAGAGCCACCTGTGGGCCACAGGGCAGGCATTGAGCTGGCGCAGCTCCAAAGAGCCTGAGTGTAGTTGTCAGCCCACCCATCCCCGCCCCGCAAGAAAGAAAACCCAGCAGAGGCCACCAGGGAGGCGTAGGAGCCCCAAGCTGCTTTTGTGATGTGGTTGTTTCTCACTGGGAACCAGACTGCACTTGTCAAACACTCACATCCTGAGGATTAGATGTGAGCATATCAGGTCACTTCATTGGATGCAAAAGTCAAAGAGCAACTGCCCTAGTATCAGCAGGGGACACGGCCGAACAGTGTTAACTGCTTGAAAACAGGACATCACAAATGGACCTGGTGCTAGCCTGAGACAGACTGCAGCAGGAGACGTGGGCATGCTGCCCTTGGCCCGGGTCACTCATAGCCCAGACCTTTCAAGGAGCAGGATGCTACTAGGAGCTGGGAAAGGTCTGTCTATAGTCCAAAGTGGACATCATCTTTAATTCAAAGAAGCAAGGTGGACACTCAGATGTAGATCTGCTATCCCCAAGTCTCCCAGGCCCAAGATGCCCTGAAGATCTAGCCAGTACTTACAGGGCTGATATCAAGGAGGCTGTGGGGACAAGAAACATGCCATTTGCTGTCCAGAGCTGTGTGTCTACTCCAGGATGGCCCAAGACCCAGAGGGGCTCATGGCCTGTTGCCTCAGTGTCAGTCCACAGAGCTCCCCAGTGCAGCCATCCTAAAGCCGTCAACTCCTGGCTTCAACCACCCCAGGCTGGAGCCTGGTCCCCTGACACCACGAAGCTGAGGCTTCTGTGTGAAGCCCATGGAGGCAGCTCCCACCCGTAGGGCCCACAGAAGGCCTGGCCTTCAGGGACATCCTGTACCCGAGCCAGTAAACGAAGCAGCCCGCACCTAGGGCTCTCCCTGGAGACAAGAGGGAAATCGCCCTATAGGCCTCCTTTTGGTCCCTCCAGCCTGGAGCCGCTAGGGACAGGCCCCAGTCCCACTTGGGCGGGGTCCCAGAGCTCTCCTGACGAGCTGGGTAGCCTAGTGGGAACTGCCTTGGACTGGAACCGCTGCTTGCCTGAACACAACCAAGCACCAGCTCTAAGGTGTACAAGTCCTCTCACAACTTTCATTACCACTGAGGTACTAAGTGAGTGGCTCACCAGTATTGTTCTTAGGCCTGCCAGCTGATGCCCAACCACCTAAAGTGGCCCAGGGCTGCGGTGTGACCACAGGGCCGTGATGGCAAGCTTTTTAGAACTTTCAGTGACAACGAACAGATGGCTGCAGCACTGGTGCCATAGGTCTGCCACCACTGCCCTACGCCATGCTTGGCAGTCAGCTGCCACCTGCTCTAATGTCCAGTACGCCTTAGTGTCCTGAGATCTTGTGATACTCATCCTGGTTCTAAGGCCCCAGAAGCAGGCTTTCCTCCTTGGGGTGGGCCTGCCTGGGAGCTGAGGGCAAGAGAACACTCCAGGGACTTGCTAGTTGGATCCTGCCCAGGGCAAGCACCTGTGCAGCCTCCTGGTTCCTCAAGGATGTCCTCATACTAATGGTCCCATTCCCGAACTACCCCTGGCATCCAGAATTTCTTTGGATTCTTCTCAAAACTGCCTCTTAGCTCTCTCCTGCCTGAACACAGACAGTCACCGTTTTCTGACTGCCCAGTCTACGTTCCTTCCAGAAGCACAGCCCCCAGTGGCACCAGTGAAGCAGGCAAGGAGCAAACAAGGGACACCGAACACTCGGTCCACACGAACACTAATGAACCTGTCCCCGCTCCCTTGGCCTTCCCAACCACTGACGCGTCCTACACCAGCCACCTATCGGTGAGCCCCTGCTTCTACTTCTGACGACTTGTCCCTTTCTTGGTCTCCCCTGTGCCCCACCCTCAGGCCTGCTTAGGCCAGGCCTGCGGCTCCTGAGGCCTGTATGCACACTTACCCTGCTCACAGGCCGCCATCCCACCCGGCTGAGCGGCCTGAGGGCACCAAAGGGCAGGAGGTAGTACAGGACAGTCAGGGGCCAGGAGCGCAGTTTCAGGGCAGGTCTGGACATACAGCTCAGCTGGCCCAGCCTCCTCCGCAGGGCCAGCTGGGGAAAGTGCAACCTGTAGGGCAGAAGCCAAGGTCAGGGGCTGGGGTCTTAAGAGGGACCCAGGAGCACCCCATCTTGACCACTGACACTGCAGTCCCCACCCTCAGCAAGCTGCCTCTCCAATGGAGTAACAGAGCCCAGTAAGGGCTGCAGTGCCCCCGTGCCAATCCTATTATGAGTAAGGGACTCGGCTGCCTCTCTGGCTGACTCATTTCCTAGTCTCTCCCACCTGCTGTCAGGCTGAGGGGAAGCGGGACGGCGGGCAGCAGGACAGAGACATTTAGGCCCAGCTCCTGGGCACTTCACAGACAGAGCAACTTCTCAGCATGGGGAAGCCCTGGCAAGGGCCTCAACGTCCCAGAACAAGGCAAGTAAGGCGGAGCGCCTGCCTCATATCCTCAGCTTCCCATGGCCAGTGTGAGGAAAGGACAGCTCTGCCATACAGGTACCAGGACTGAGTCCAGACAGCACAGCAATGCACAGTACCATGGTGCTGTGACCTGGTCCGCTAGGTGACTGCCTGCGGAGTCTTGCCCCTACCCCACTGCAGGACGTGGGAAAAGCTCTTCATGGCTCCAGCCCTTTTGCTTCCTTCTCTACTAAATTAAAGGACAGGGTCAGACAAGATGTCAAAGGGTATGTATACACATGCACACTCACATGATTGCATGCACACTACACACACACACACACACACACACACACACACGCACGCACACACCCCTACTAAAGCTATAGCTCTGTCCTACCTGCACGGTCTTTCAACAGTAGGGCAAGTTCTTTAAAACTCACCCACAGGTTTGTGGGGGGAACTCCCTCCCCAATCACCTCCCACTCAGCTGAAGCCACACACATGACCCCAGCTCCTCCTTTCAGCAGGGTGGGTGGTCCTCTACCCAACTCCACCAGCACAAACTCTGGGCATTCAGCACAGCCTCGCTTCCCGGAGTTGCAGAAGCTGGGCTCCTGAGCAGCAACCAACTCCCCCTGTCACAGGCCCAGGCCCTCAAAAATACTCCTGAAGCCTCAGTGTACCCATCAGAACACTACACGGCCACCCGCTCAGGCCTCAGCTTTCCAATCTGCAAAATGACTACATTCAACTGGACAGTAAGATTGCCATCGGCGTCGAAGCTCTCAGGAGCTGGTCCTCTGCTCCCCAAGGATCAAAGGGGCATCTCAGCTGAGCATCAAGAGCTGAGCGAACGGAGAGCTGAGCCACCGGCAGGCCCTGCGGTCTGTGATTGCAGAGGAAGGCGGGGTTCCGCTCTGCAGGCGGCCGCGTCCCCACAGCTCACCAGATGCCCTGCTTTCCTTCCATCTCTCCCATCCCGTTCTATTATGTTTTTAAAAGGTCTGGGGAGGTGGCAGGAGCCAAGCAAAGACAAATCACCGCCATCCCTCGGGACTTCCCCGCCCTGCTTACTGCAGAAGAGCAGAGACCAATCCTAGAAGAGCCACAGGCACCCCGCTTCTAGCTGTCTGAAGTAAGGGTCTGCAGGGGGAGAACGGGGACCTGGAAACCCCATCCAAGGGCCGAGAGTTCAGAAGCCTGTGGCCACCTCCCCCCACGGACCCCTCCTCGAGGCCCAAGTACCTGAAGCGGGCTCTCTTACTGAGGGCGTTCAGGCCGCCCTCGCCAGGCCCTTCCAGCCGAGGGGGCTGACCCCCAGGCCCCCCACTGCTACCTCCACTTCGAGGCCGGTGGACATGAACTCTGACCTTCCGGAGATTGTGGCGGGGCACGGTAGGGTTAGGACGCGGCGGTGGGCAGCATCTCACCATTTCGCTGCTGCTCGGAGCTCTGGTCCTCGCCGCGCCTCTGACTGACACATTGTGGGCAGGCACAGGGAGGCGGCGCAAAGGCTCCTGCGCTCGCTCACTCGCCTTTGTTTTTCTTTCCTTCCTCCCCTTCCCCCCCTTGCTGGAGGATCTCCCGTGCTGTCACTTCTCAAGGGGTGCTGATGGCTGGTGGCGCTGCTTCCCGGCTTGGCTCAATCTGGATCACTCACAGGACACAGGCTAGGATGGCCAGGGCTATTGTAAACAGACAGGCACCGGTCACACGTTTGCTCAGGCCTCCAGCTCAAGTCACCCACTCAGGCTTGCGACCCAGGGCAGAAGCTGCTACACTCAGCCCACTCTGCTTGGTGACCTGCCTGGTTGCTGCTGCCCCAGCTCACCCACTCCCTTAACTGGGCTGGGAGGGCAGAAGGTGCAGGCGGCCCTGGGGCCACACACTGTCAAAGCCTATGGCAGGGAGGAGAAGCAGACAGCGCCAGGGCTTCCAGGCGCTGCTGGGCTCTAAAGGAACAAGGCGGGAATCTGAGCCCTGTGCTCCAGGCTGGGGGCCCCCCCCTCACCAGGACCTGACCCATTTTCGATTCAGGTTACAAAGGAGTATCTGAAGAATGAAAGTAGCAGGCTGCCAAACAAGGTACCTTGGTCAGAACCTGGGCGTCAGGTCTGCTCCAGCTCTCTTCTAGCCTGAAAACTCCCCAGGACCTAGCTCCGACCCCATTCTGGCCTCCTCAGAAGCTGTGCACCTGGGTGGCCTCAGGAAAATCCAGCCTGGCCCTGGGAACAGGCCATACCATTCTGCTCCGCTTTTTCCATCTCTGCTACAGAAAAGCACTTTGGCCAGGCTCCTCCCTGGCTATCTATCTGCAGGAACCACCCTGCCAGAACAAGGTCTTCCCACTGCACAGATAACAGGGGAAGAAGAGCAAATATTCCACAGCTGTTGCTGTCTCAGCCCAGGACAGGCAGGGTTGCGAAGGGTGACGAAGGGGGGCGGGCTGGGGAGGGCGGACACAGGGTGAGGGGGAAGGATGTGGGCTGCTGACATGGGCTGACTGTGAGCCCACTCCACCTGGCCTCCAATTTCACCCAGAGTCTGGGAAGGGAGCAGGTACATGTCACTATCTTTGGATGAAGAAATGCGGGCCCCACGAGCTGCTAGCTAAGGCAGAGATTGGATCCATGGAAGGCCCGCTGGTACTGCTAACACACTGTGACATAGCAAGAGGCCTCAACTTCAACATCTATCCGCACAATGATCAACAATGGTCAGGTTACTCCATTCTGCCTATGTATGGAGCTCACACCTACCTCCCCTGGCTCCCCAGGCTCCCCAGGCTCCCCAGGCTCCCCAGTGGCCAGGGAAACAGGACCAGGGGATGCTGAGCGGTCTGGGTGAGCCTGTGCCTGGCTCCACAGAGGGAAGCTCTTTCTCTGCTCTAACAAGCATAGGCTGGAAGAAGAGGAGCTGAGCTCACACCAGGATTCTCAGGGAGGCAAGCATGGCCTTGTGGTGTAGGAGGGGAGGAGGGGACCTGTGACCTCCAGCCTCTGCTAAGTTTTCTTTGCCGTCCTACCATGTGGGACACTAACTACAATAGCACTGAATGTGTCTGGCAGGAGCCCACAAAATCAGGGCTTGGACAAAACATACAGGTTCTTCAAGGAGACGCCTATGGGAACTCTGGCATTTCATTCTGCCTGTCTAGGTCAAGCCCTGCTGAAGACCAGAGGCCTTTGGTGCCAGGGGTCTGGCAGGACAGATGGCTCACCAGGACACAAGGGCCAGGGCTCCTTCTGCCTGCATAGGGGAAGCTCAAGGGGACCAGCCCAAGGGGCTGCTTCCATAGAGAGATGGTAAGAACCGCCCTGAGGAGCTGGGTCACCCAGCCGTACTTGGCCCAGGAAAGCCAGGGTCAGGCACAAGTCCTTGTCATTTTTACTATTTTCCCTCTTCTAAAATGGAACACTGAGAGCAAGGTGTCAGAATTCCCCTCAAACACCATCCACAGCTCCTGAAGGCTGGGCACCAGCCCAGAGCTGCAGGAGGAAGGAAAGGGGCCCCTGAAGTCTCTGCCTCATCTCCCAGGCAGAGCTGCTTCTCGGCCAGCAGTGCTTCCAGCCTCCCCATTCAGAGCCCACTTACCAGTCACCTGTGACAGCCCTTGGACTCACAGCCGGAGATTTTACCCTCCTTGACCCTTGAGCCCTCAGCTTGACTGAGGAACATGCAAAGAGGGGAGCCTGAGGTTGGCTCCAGTGGGGATGCTGGCGGGCTACGACCACTTCCTCTCCAGCTCCCCGGAGCCAGGGCCACCCAGCAGGTGTGCCCAGCGAGGTGACCAACCCCTCCTCCCTCATGTTCCCAGGGCTAGGAGTGGATAAAACTTCACAAACAGGGGACCAGAAAATGAACTATCCCTTGGCAAAATGGTTGAGTCATCTTGGGACCTTGTGGGTAAGAGGGCCCACAGAGAGGGACTCCAAGGAGCCCATCCTCCAATCAGCGGGAAGGAAAGGGGTGGGAGTGACAGACCAGGCTGAGTCTCTCCTTCGCAGTCTCCCAAAGAAAAGCAGCTCTGGCACCTGTAGGGGACACTACAAAGAAGCTATGTGCCACCTGTACCCCAGCCCTCGGCCGACATGGAGGGAGACAAATCTGGACACCTCCAGGCCTCCTGATGAACAGGGCTACTTCCCTCTCTCTCTCCAGTGACAGGTCCCCAAGATCCTGAAGCAGCACTGAGGAAATGCTCACTAGGGAGCCCAGGGCAGCAGGCAGTGCTAGGGCAGCACTTCCCGGCATTTGCCTCACTTCCCGCCACCACCGCTGCAAGCAGAGGATGTTACAGAATGTGGAGGAAGTGAGCTCATGCGGCCTGGGCCCTGTGATCTGACAGGGGACAGAGGCCACAAGTTGATCAACACTATCAAAATTATAGGCTCCGCTGGCCCAGGGGGCTCCATCATTCCTAGCTGCCAATGAGCCAACCAGCAGTCACGAACGAAAGTGCTAGAAGGGCACTCCTACCAGAGTCAAAAGCAGTCCCCCAGCTGGCTAGGGCAGGGCAGGGCAGGGCAGGGCACCTCTCTGAGAAACTGCCTGCTGCTGTAAGTCACCTGTGGCTCCCGTGGATTCACTTTCTGGCAGATGGGTCCTACTCCGGCTTGCTTCCGGACTCTGGCCTCCAGAGCGGTCCAGTTCAGGCTCCGGAAAGCTCAGGGATGGTGGGGCTCAGGTTCCAGCCACTAGGGCTGTGGGGGGCGGGGGCAGAAGGAGTGACACCAGACACCGTTAAAGCAATTAAAGTCACAGCTCCTTGTGAGCTCCAGCTAGGCCTTGGGCACCCAAGGGCTCCTTTAAGAGGAGGAGCCACGTCTGGGAAGAAGAGGGGCCCAGCCCTACACAGTCAGGTCGGCAACGCCCCACAAAGGGCGCTGCCCCATAAGCCTCAGCAGAGCAGAGCGGGGCCGGCCGCCCCCCAGAGGCTGCCTCTTAAGGCTGGGGGACCCCGTCCTCGGCCCCTGAATAGCTTCTGAAGCTACTGCCTCCCTCCCACTCCCCCCTCCCCATTAGTCAGAGGTCCCACGTGCTGCTGACTTCACTGAGGGCTGGCTTCACTGGACTAAGCAAAAAGCCACCTCTAGCAGCCCTTTCTAACCCCGAAAGCTCAGAAGATGTGAAAGTCCTTGCTTCTGTCCAAGCTGATCCTAAAGACGCAAGGCTGCTCCCACCCGTTCCCTGTCCTCTAGGCTGGCATATCCTGACAGACAAAAGGCTCAGACCCAAAAAAGAGATGCAGAGCAGTGAAGAAAACACTGTAGAGCAGTGTTAAACAAGGTTCCAACTACAGCTCAGAAAAACTGTGGTGGCACACACCTGCCGTCCCAGTACTCCAGAGACTGAAGCAGCATCACCATGAGTTTGAGGCCAGCCTGGGCTACATTGTGAGTTCAGGGCCAGCCTGAACTACAGAGTGAGACCCTGTCTCAAAACAAAACAAAACAAAACAGATGCCGCCTCCTGCCGCCTCCTTCTGCCGCTCCTGGAGTGGCTTGTGTGCTCGACTGGGGACCTGGTATCTCCTTTGTGAAGCAGCAGCTGAGAAGACTGGAGGCTCACTATGGGCTTACAGAAAAACCAAGGAAGAAGTCAAGACTGAGAGCAGTGGTCATATTAACTTGAAGGTGGCGGAGCAGGATGGTACTGTGGTGCAGGTGAAGGTAAGAGGCACACACCCCTCAGTAAACTAAGGAAAGCCTATTGTGAATGACAGGGTTTGTCAATGAGGTAGATCAGAGTACAGTTTGATGAAGAGCCGATCAATGAAACAGACGCACCTGTACAATTAGAAATGGAGGGAAGATACAATTGATGTGTTCCAGCAGCAGGCAGGAGGTGTCTACTAAGGAGGAAACTGCAACAACTCTACTCCAGAACTCTGTTCTTACAGACCAAGAACACATTCTCAATTAGAACACTGCAATTCAGTTCCACCACATTCTGACTACAACAGTATAGTTTCCTCTATAATTTCATTTATTCCTCCCCATTGCTTTCTTGTACATAACAGATCTGGCATATGTGCACGAACGTATTTTTTTCTGATTGGCCAACAATGGTTTGATTGACATCAAACAGAAACGGGATGAGGAAATACTGGTTCTGTGAAAGTAACCCCCTTTCTCTGTTAATGGGCTGCTCATCAGCTCTTATCTTTATATTCCTGTAAGTTATTTTGCTCTCACTGTGTCAACAAAAAAGACAATATAAAAATGCTTGCATATCTTGTTTGATTGGACAATTTTAATGTTTTTCATTTATCATTGTAAAACAAAGGACAATTTTACAACTTTTCTGTATGTAGCTATTACATGTATAGGGCAATCTGTCTTTAGGAGAAAATCACTGTAAAAAAAAAAAAAAATCCTAGTTTTCCCTTTAAGTCAAATGTCTTATTATTTTTTCCCTTCAGTCAGATTTTATTGGTATATTTTAGATACACATAATGATCACATTCGTCAAAGTATCTTGTTGTTTAAATAAACTTCTTGTTTAAAATGAAAAAGAAAAACAAAAACCAGAAAGACAGTCAGTCCGTCCAAGTATGGGGCTTTCCTCTGCTGGCATGAACATCTTGTGGCATGTCTTTCTACCTCCCTGGATTAGAGGGCCCTAGTTTGCTGAGTCAACACCCCTAGGGTTCAGTGCCCGCCTGGCAAGCGCAACGCCCTGAGTTCGATTCCCAGTACTAAAGCAGAACAAAATGAAACACACCCAGAGGGTGCCAGGCACATGCCCAGCAAGCACTCAGCAAACTCACAGATGGAATGAACCAACTCAACGTTTTCTAGAGGAGGGGGAAGAAAGTCTATGGACATCACTGTTCAACCGAAGGCTCCTCCTTCATGTCTATGTAGCCACCTTAGCAATGGTCAGACGGCCTCAGAAGGCTGCCTTTTCTTCCTGAGCTACTAAATCACAATACAATTCTAGCTCCTTCTGATCACTAAGTATTTCCTTTCTAAAACAATATTTGGAACATGAGAGCTTGTATAGGGCTTTGTAAGGAGATGAGACAAGTGGTCAAGGCAGCCAGGAGGAGGACCCCAGTGATGAGGTGCAGCACAGCCCCACACACCTCTCCTCCTCACATGGACACGGGTCCAATGCAAGCACATGCTATGTGATAAGCTACAGACAGGGGCTGCAGTAGCAGGGAGAACATACATCAAGGCCTCTCTCAGGAACCTGCATGATATTTAGTACAGTATGCCTGTGAGAAGGGAGAGGCAGAGTGAGCCTATTACAGGTCCAGCCTGAAGGGACCTCAGGTTTTAGGACAGGACTAACAAATATCTTACACATAAGCTGCCATGCTCTCTTGGTCTC